TTTATCGTGAATTCGCACCATTTTTAATCAGTCTTTTTCTGTTCAATTTGAATACATTGTGGCGGTTTTGCAAACAGCTTTTGCAGGCCACACCTGAGAGCACATTCTGCGTCGCGGTCGATAAAGGACGGCGTGTTCATTTCTTTCACTCTCTCCTCTTTCGTTTTTCTCACAGCCGCCAAGAGTTTCGCGCCGTGGCAGAGCGTAAACAAAAATTAAGTCAGAAGAATCCATTCTAATCTTGCGCGCGGGGGGAGCAATTAGATTAATTTGCCACTTTTATTGTGGTTCGCGCCTCGTAAAGAAATAAAGGCAGGTGAGAGATTGGCAGAGACGTTCGCACACGATAAGGCGCCGCGGATTTGTCTGCGCTCGGTTTAATTTAAATGTAAATTAGCTCGGGGACTTTGATTCGAATCGACGGCGTTCCCAACAAGACTTTTCTTCCCGCTTTGATTATAAATAAACTTTTTCGCTTAAAGTGGGAGATAAATTAATGCAAGCTGTTCTACAGTATTTAATTTAATTAAACTGAAATTTCATTCTAGTTCTTTTAAGAAACATTATAATTTTTTTTTTTAACAAAAGGAATATTTTCATAAAATTTATTATTTACATTTATCACTTAATTTTAATTCTCGTTTTTGTAATCCTTTTGACAGGAAATTGGAAATTAGCAAGAAATTAATTTGCAGTCGACACTAAAAACTTTATTTACAACCGACATCCTGCGTTTCAACTTGACGATCGATCTTGCAAACAAAAAGCGTCCTCGCGCAAATTAGCTCCGTGTAGCTGAATTAATTGTTTGCCAAAGGAAAGCTGCTGGCTGCACCTGTTTACAATTTGTTTGCACCTCGTAATACTCATCCAGAGCAGCTCGTTTTTCTCACCTTCTATATACCCCTGGTGCTGGGTAAACATACACATGGTAGAGAAATGAGTGAAAGAGAGTAAAAAAATCTCTCGCGCGCGCGACACGCAGAGAGCGAAGGAGCCACGCGGGCTCTTCTAAATTTAGTTGCAGCTCTGGCGGCTCTCTCGGCCAGTGTCTGCCCAAGTCGTGTGATAATAAAGCACCGCTCGTTGGCATATGAATGGAGTCGAGATGGATGCCTCTTTTGATTTCTATCTGTCTGTGAAATAGCGCGAGCACAAGAAAATAAGAGCCCCTCGTTGCACTTGGTCGGGTCGAGGCTGAGATGTGGAAATAAAAGGAATCGACCTCCTGGCTTTCGATTATTCAACACATCTTAATTTTCTTTTTTAAACAGAAACAAAATTAATTAGATCTTTTAAATTATTTGTTTCACAAACTTTCCTCATGAAAGAAATCGTAAATAAATTAATTGACCATCATAGAAAATAAAGGATAAAATAATTATTTTAACGTGAATGCGTTAAATTCAATATTATATGAGTTTATGAAAATTTTGAAGAAAAAAGTATTGATTGGATGATAAAAAAATTTCAACAATGTACAAACTGATCATACTTTTTTTGTAAATAATTTTAAGACTTATAGGTAATTAATAGGTTTGTATTTTGCTATTGTATCACCTCCCATAACTGGTTACAATTTTTATTGTACATTTTTACTAATCCAAATTATTGATTTCTCTAAAAAAAAATATATATTTCATTTTTCATTTTGAGGCAAAATTTCCATTACATAATTTGCCTTCACTCAACCTCCCTATTGCAAACTTTTCGTCGACTTGTTCAATTCCGAAAGCAGAGCATTTTATTTTCCACCCGAGCGAATTCCGGATAGAATTGAATCATTTGAATCTCCCCCTGGGAAATGGCCCTCCAAATGCTGCGAATGCAAATAAATTTTTCATTCTGCGGTGCTGCCCCTAGCTGTTGCTGACACTCGCAAGTGTGGCGCCGAGATTTTCACCTGGGGGCGCGTAATCTCATTTCGCACCAATCTCCTCTCTGGTCGACGAACCCTTCTGTTTAATTAGCACCTGAGCCAAGAACGACAGACGGAGAGGGAGTCCCGCGTTTGCAATAAGGGCGCGAAAACGCACCTGTTCGCCAAATTCTCAAATGTAAATGAAGACTCTTGTCACAACGCAAAACTTGCCGGCTGGGAATTGCCGAGCGACTGATTTGCTCAAAATAGTTATGAATCATCTTCTGTTTGAATTTAGCAAACATATTGTTCTATACATTTGATTTTTTTTCAATTAGAGAGAATTTTTTTAAATTTTGTAGCGACTTTTTTAACTTTTAACTCTCATTCATTATAATTTCCTTTAGAAGAGGTTGGTTAATAAATTTTTAAGAAGAAAATTAGAGATCGTTAAAGAATTCAGATAACAACAACTTGAAATTCAAATTGATTAGCCAGGAAGCAAACACAAGATAATTATAAAGTGCTGGGAATGAAAATTATGAAAAAAATTTATTTTGGACAAACGTTTCACTTGGAAATAAATTCCTGTTTGATTTTAGTTTAGATTTAAAACGGTTCCAGACTGATTTGTTGACTTTTTGTTTTGCATCAGATCTGATCAATAAATTCTGGCACTTGAAATTTGACTTTTTGCAATTACGAAAGTTGTCGCGAGCTGATTCATCACGCGGTCGCGCCCGTTGGGTCGAGGGCATTATGTGCACTTGAATTGAGCGCGGCACAAAACACTTTCCTCGTTAATTAAGGGCCGTTCGTTTGAGACTTGGAGAGAGTGGGTGCAGCAGATAGAGAGGAGTCTGTCTCTCATGGTGTATAGAGACACTCGACATTATTTCTGAGACGATCGAGTGTCGCCGTCGAAGCCAAGAGTTGAGGAAAGCCCTCGCACTTCACTTTGGCACGCACAAATTTATGCAATGACATCACATCCGTCGAGTACGTCTCCACTCGCAAAGAGAAATAGACCATTTTTGCGCCACTCCATCTGCCTCGCGAATAATTGAACCAATTATGAAAAAGAAGTCTCGCTAGCTGGAATTTGCAGCTGCTCATTTCTGGATGAGTTTTTATTCAACACTCGCTAAAAAAAATTAGAAAAAGACCTTTAAGATTTATTCATCTGTCATCTTGAAAAGCAAAACAAGTTGGATAAAAAATTGTTCATTTTTTTCAATTGAACTTACTTTTTTTGCGGGAAATAAATAATAATCATTCTATTTCTATTTATCACATAAATCAATTTGTATAATATTTTTAACGTATTCATATCAATAAATAGATCTTTAACTATTTGTACAAAAATTTTCCGGCCAAAACATACTCAACTAAGTTTAATCATGATAAAAAAATTTTGAAAAGGGTGCAATCTCTTAAATTTAATTTTACCATAAACCCTAGTAATGACAACAATAAAAAAATTTTTTCATACTATTTCTGTCTTTGGCAATTAGAGTTTACCTTCGTTTTTTGTATATTTTATGCACCTTTCTTCGTTGTTTTGTTACTTATAAAAAGTCAGTATGTGACTTGGTCGCCGGAATCGGAAATGGGGACACGTGAGAAGAAGAAGAATGAAATTATCGTTGCATGAGTGGCCGGCGGCAATGATGACTCACACTGGTCTCACCTAGTGCATAAAGTGCCTTGGGTGCAGGACAGGTGGTAATTAATATAATTTCCCGCACTTTTATTCTAGTGCGTGTGTTCTGCTTGTATTACACTCATAGGCACAAGTTCTTCAAGGTATTATTAAACAGACCAACACAGCGTTAGCTTTTGTGGAGCAAACTTTGAGTTATTTACTTTATTTTAAGAAAGCACATGGCATAATTGAAAGTAAAATTTCTAAAAATTTTTGTTATAAAAAAACGTAAAGTTTCCTGTGCCAGTGAAAGCAGCGTTATGAAAAAAATCATTTATGTTAAATTTTCTATAAAAAATTTTAATTTTACTTTTGTAGATATGGTTTAATTGAATAGGCATCGATCAAATAAATTTGAATTATATCTGCAATTTCGTGAAACATACACACATAATTGCGTAAAAGTTATCTACACTCACAAAAAGCCCTAGATAGCTTTTCAGGAATTAAAAAAGAAAATTGAATTTTATTTTTACCAACTTATTTTTGAAAAACTTTTGAATTTCGTTTAAAGCTATTTTTTTTTAGATTTGAAATTAATTTCAAAATCTTTATCTTATACAATCCCACGTTCATATTTTTGTATTATTTTGTAAACACACTGCGATTGCATTATAATTTAATTTATAAGGCGCACTTTTTGTAACTACATGCGGGAATATATTTTCAAGCCGATGGAGTTGTGAAACAATTTGCTATCACCAATTAAGCGGAATTATGACCCACTTGACTACAATGCAAACGGAATAATGATCTCTCTGACGCAATCAACCTCCTGCACTATCGTGTCTGTGGATTTGCATGACAAAAAGGGCGCCGACAAATGAATGCAAATTCGTGTCTGTGTCCTGCGCCGAACCGAATTATTTCTTATGAGAGTTTCGAAGCAATAAAGAGAGAAAGACAGACGTGTGTTTTTTTGCTCTCATTGATTGGGGCGCCTCGACGTGATCATGGTTGCTCTCCGGCGCCAGAAGTCTGCCAAGGGTGGCTATTATTCAACCCCCGTGCGCCGCCGACGTGCAGCCTCCCCCAGCTCTCGCAGCCAGCCAGCAAAGAGAGAGGGTGTCTTTTCCTGCTCCCCTGCGAAATAAATTTTGCACGGCTGCCCAAGTTGAAAGTAAAAAAGAACGTGTCGGCGCGTAAGTAAAGGATTAAAATTACCGAGAGACAGGTGAAAAACAACAATAAGCGTATTAAGGGCAAGTGAAAAGTGAATGCCCTCGAGCGATCGGCTAATTTTTCTAAGCCTTCACTTCCAAGCTAGGCTCGGTCCAAGTTTTGAAACTTTTTGTTTCATTTTAATACTTTTTTACATTTCAAATTGATTTTTTTAGGAATGGGGTGTCGACCGTGAGGTGCGAATTTCCAATCAAATAACCCGCCCACACTGCAAAACACGATTCACGCCGAAAGGGTTAGAGTTGGACTCACCAAAATTCTGCTTCTTTGTCGGCGGCCAGGTCGCTGCTGTGGCCCCGCAGGTCGACGCCACTGCCTCGAAGGGCCCTTTCGAGTGAAAAATTTATCGAGAGCTGGCGGGGACCGCCAAATGTTCCCGGTTCGGATACGACGGGCCTGCGAAAAGGTCGCAAACACACACAAGCACAACGTTTGAACCCGAGCTCGAACTTCTGTCTGCAGCCGATATGCTCGCAGAACGCTATCACTTCAGCTGTGGCCAATCGCGGCGCCAGCTCGGGGTCACGTGGGCGCAGGAATTAAAATCCTCGACTGGCAGATGGACTGGGACGTGAGGCAAGTGCCCTCCGTGGGAGACTTATCAAGTTACGGTTTAATCCAACACAGAAATTGTAATTTAATAGTTTCAAACTGCTTGATTTTATTCAAATGTTAAATAATAATGAATAATTATGGAGAATTATTAATTAAATAGTCAAATTTAATAAACGAAAATAAAAGAATATTTAGTAGATTCTTTTTTGTCGTTACTTAAATTTTATTTTATTTTTGAAATCATCGAAATTCTAAAAACTATAGCAAGTGATGAAGAATTGTCAAAAAAAAAAATATATAATAATTTTGATTTCCTGAATGCGCGCGTTCTGACATTTATATTATGCTTGTCTTCTCCAGGTGAGCACTTCCAAATACTGATGATAGGATGGGGGATCATTACAATATCAAGTGGTGAAATCCGTTGAACAGAATTGAATAATCAATCAATGAAAAAGTATTTTAGGAATGGTTGACACTATTCCCATTTTTTGAACTCTTGTCCATCAGGAGCTTTCATTTCCACTTTTCCACCAGCAATTTCCTTCCAGTTTGTGCTTAGTACAGTGCCATTTGATTCAGTCTACGTTTAGAAAAAGGAATCAAATTTTTTTTAACACAACTGTAAAAAAATGAGCTTACAAATGATTTGTTCATGGCTTTCCTGATCTCGTCTGAACCTTCGGCATAGATTTTCTGGAAAAGTTGGTCAATGCCATCCTCCTTTTCATCCTCAATTGTAATTTTGTCCCAGTCTTTGGCTGCCTTTGAGGAGCTAGGGTACTTCGGAGGCCCACTGGAGCCCCCACTGGCCTCCGGATGTGCTGGCATTGGTCTAGAAGTCTCGTCTCCTTCCAATTTTTCCCAGCGAATACCATCTCTTTTCTTCAATTTGAGCTCAATCTACGATACATAGTTTTTCAATGGTTGGATAAACAAATTTTTAATAAAAAACTAACCTTAGTAGACATAATTTTGTAGGAGCTCTGGTCAGGGATAATTTCAAAGGAAAGGTGAATGTCTTTCTTGTACTCATCTCCATTTGACAGCTTGGCATCAATAGTCACCTGTTGAAAATTATCATACCAATAAGAAAAATTCTGACACAAATGAGTAATCAATCCTACTGTTTGTGAAGAAATTTGAATGACTGATTTTTCCGGATCCACTTTCTTGGCCATCGCCTCGACGGTGACGTGTGTTTCAGTCTGATACCAATCGATGCGGACCGCCGGAGCAGTCACGACGGGAGCTGTGGCCTCTTCAGTCATTCTCCAAGCAAAATTTAATTGCAATTTGCAAAATTACGCAGCCCTTGTGCCCTGCTTGCGCCCTTCAAAAGCCTGGAACTTTCCTCCGTGTTGACATTAGCGGAACGTGCGCCGGGAAAATTGTAGAGTGACGTGATTGGCCACGGAGATGCCAGAGCGGCTACGCCCCCGTGACGCAGCGCCAATTTCGAAAACCCATGTTGTGATTGTGATTCCTGCGACTTTGACCATGAGACGATCACGCTGGTCAAAAAGTGTCGCAATAAACTTTGACCAGCAGTGAAACCAGTCACACGCTGTCGAGGCACAAGGTCAATATCGTTAAAATAGCATGTTATTTAGGAATCACGCGAGAGCCTTGAGTTTTCTCGATTCAAGCAGGAAAACTCGACTTCTGCTGGTCACAATGGTTAAAGTAAACAGGTGCCTGCACGACATGAACGGCGACGCACAGCATTTCTACGAGGTTTTTATTTATTTCTTATCATGATATAATGGTCTAATCTTAAGCGCGTTCAAGATTTTTTTGACCTGGGTTTGCCGGATGCTTTAAACTTTGACATGTTAAATATGTCAATTGGTGATTAATTGCGGGATAAACTGCACTGGAACGCATAATATACATCACATTATGCGATTAAAAATTAAATTTGATGTTCAATTTTATGCACTTAACTTGTAAATCAGTCTATGCTCTTAAGATTTATACTTTGATAATGTTAGAAAATATTCAAAAAATGTTTTTGGTAAAAATTTTCATTATTTTTTTGCTTTCTTTAATTAATTTCTATTTTTATTTTGGATTAAATATTTCAGGATGCAGTGAGTGCACTGAACTCTCTCCAAACAAATGCATCGGTCCTTCAGCAATCAAAGAAGAGAATCGGCCAACCAAACACAAATGTCGAGGACACAAGAAAATATTTACAGAGGTCGGGTATCAGTCAAGACACACTTGATTCTTGTTTATCTGCCATTCACGTTGCTGGGACCAAAGGAAAAGGTGCAAGAGTTGATTTTATTCCCTATAAATTATCACTTAAATTTAAAAAAAATTCAGGCTCAACTTGTGCATTTACGGAGAGTATATTACGACACCACGGGTTGAAAACTGGCTTCTACTCATCACCACACTTGGTAGCTGTCCGAGAGAGAATTCGAATCAATGGCAAACCTTTGTCCATGGAAAAATTCACCCACTATTTTTGGGATGTTTACAACAATTTGGCACTGAAAAAAGTTTCTTATAACATATTTTTCGAAAGAACATTTTAATTTTTTATTCCATTTAATTAGGAATGTGATAGCGACATGCCTCCTTACTTTAAATTTTTGACTGTGATGGCTTTCAACGTTTTTATAAAAGAAAAGGTTGATGTTGCTTTGATTGAAGTTGGCATCGGAGGTGAGCTCGACTGCACTAATGTCATAAGGTATTTTAGCTAAAGAATTGTTTCCATTTAATATCAAAACTAAATTTAGAAAGCCAGTTGTTGTTGGGATCACTTCTCTTGGATTGGACCATACAACGTTACTTGGTAATACGGTCGAATTGATTGCTTGGCAAAAGGCAGGTATCTTAAAAGAAGGTGTCCCTGCCTTCACTGTGCACAACCAACCTGGTGACTCGTTGAATGTAATTAGGCAAAGAGCTGAGAAAATTAAGGTAATTATTCCATTGCAGTAATTAGGCAGCTTGATTATTTTGTTTTCTTGCAGTGCCCTCTATATTTGGCTCCTGCGTTTGAAGACTACAAGTGGCCCAACGGCGAAAAGCCTGTCCTTGGCCTTGATTCAAATGTGCAAAAGTTGAACGCCTCCATTGCAATTCAACTAGCTCACACTTGGCTGAAAATTAAAAATGGTCTTCCCTATGGTAAGAGTGGTAAAATCAACTTTCATTTTTTAATTGTTTTTAAATTTTATAAATTTAGAAAAACGCACTCTTGCAATTCCTGAACTGACAGCCAAGGGTCTTTTGAACGTCAGTTGGCCAGGTCGAGCCCAGACTTTGATTCAGTCGCCTCAGTTGAAAATATTCCTTGACGGGGCCCATACAACAGAAAGTATTGAGAACTGTCTAGCATGGTTCCAGGTTGCTTCAGAGAAGTGCGTCTTATTTTCATTTGTGTAATGTAAATTTATTTAATTTTAACCTAGGCAGACGTCTTCTGGCAATGTAACGAAAGTGCTCATATTCAACTCCACTGGAGAAAGAGACCCTTCCAATCTTCTCAGGCCACTAAGCAACGCAAAAGTATTTTCCAAAGTTATATTTTGTCCCAACATCGTTTCTAGCAAGGAAAATCAAAAGACCGGTCAGTTATTTTTAATATAGAAGTCGGCTCTTTTTATTGAGATTTATTTTGTAGACCAAAGCAACTTCATGGTAACTGAAGAGCAGCAGCTGAAAAGAGCGTGTGCCCACCTGACAGCCTGGAATCTTTTGAAAGACGAGTCTGACGAAAAATGTGATACTCAAGCATTCCACTGCATCAATGATGCACTGGCGTTTGTTCAAAACCTTTCTACTTTATCAGAAGTCCATGTGTTAGTGACAGGTTAGTTTTTGTTATAGGGTTTACTCATGGACGTATGTTTAATAAAATTAAAATGAGTAGGTTCACTGCACCTTGTTGGATGTGTTCTTGGCAAGTTGGAAGAAACCATCGTCGAAGAAGAAATAGATACAAACCAAGAGGTAGCAAAGCTGCAGCAACTTTGAGGCAGAAATTTAATTGAATTTATTTGAATTCTTCTTCATATATTTCTAGTTAAAAATTAGATCATACATAGATTAATTTTAGAGGCAAGAAAATATTTTTTTAATTATGTGCCATATTATTTTTTGATATAGTCAAAAATATAGTCACCTACAGAGTTAATTTAAGGATTTTACTCTGAAACTTTCAGGCATAGAAATAATAAATAATTCTGGTGAATTTATAATAAAGAAAACTATATTATTTTTTTGATAATATAAATAATATCTAGAATAAAATTATTTTTCAAAGATATGTGACAACTTTTTCTTCTTCAAATTTGTACAATCTTAATCCTTATTTTAAAACAAAATTAGTGCAGCTAGATATTAATAATAATAAGTCTTTTATTTTAACACTTGCGTGTACATGCGCTGCACTAATTTAATTAAGCAGCCTTGACAAAGGCGCCATTTTTGGCGCCTCTATTGTTGTAAAGTGAGAACGTTACGCCCCCGTCGTCTCGCCTTTTTATATGTATTTGTTTCATCTCCCAGCGAGAGCTCTTTAAACCGGCACGCATTTATTTGGAAATTTTAATTGATAGCTCGTATCAGTTGCATTTAAATCATGGCAGGAAGACTTGCTACAAGGCTGAGCAGCGTTCGATCGACATTATTCCTCTGCGATATGCAGGAGAAGTTCCGGCCCAGCATCCAATACTTCAACGAAGTGGTTTTCAACTCGTCCCGGCTCTTGAAAGTAGCCAAACTACTAGACATGCCTGTTGTCTGCACTGAGCAATACCCTAAAGGTTAGCACATATAAACATAATTTCAACGGGGGTTTTATTCACATTAATTCTCATGAAGGTCTTGGAGCCACTGTGCCCGAATTGGGAATTCAGGAATTCGGAATTGTGCCTGTTGAGAAAACACAGTTTTCGATGGTCTTGCCACAGATCCTAGACAATCTCAAGAGAAACCACGACCAGGTTGCTTCATTTTTATGCATAATTGTTTTAATTTCTACAATAAACTGTTTTAATATAATATTTTTCAGGTGAATACTGTCATTCTTTGTGGAATCGAAACCCACGCCTGCATCCATGAGACCGCTCTTGACCTTCTCGAAAAAGGTTATGGTGTCCATGTGGTGGTTGATGCTTGCTCTTCCAGAAGCATGCTTGATAGGTAAAATTAATTAAAAAAAAAAGATTTTTATTGTTTTTCCTAAAACATTTCTTGTAGGAAATACGCATTCAAACGTTTGGAATCGGCTGGCGCAATTCTCAACACCTGTGAGGGGGTAGTTCTTGCTCTTGCCCAGGATTCAAAGCACCCAAAGTTCAGAGAATTGCAGAAAATCATTTGGGAAGTTGGACCTGACACTGGACTCCTCAGATAGTTACCCAATTGAATTTGATTTAAATAGAAGAGGCTGCTTTGGTGATTAAAAGATGGAAATGCACAGTACACATTTAATGAGTAAAATCCATCGCATTAAAGTGAATCGACGATTATAAATAAATCCTAATTATTTTTATGAACATATATAAGTGAATGTTGTAACTCCAAAAAAATTAAGAATACAGTTAATAAAATGGTGCTATTATTGTGTGATCATTTCAATAATGCTATCAGTAACAAATATATTATTGATGGTACATTAATTTCACTTTTTTGAACCCTTTAATTTTTGTTTTTATTACATATTATTTTCACTGGAATTTAGAAAACTCACGAAAAAGTTCCGGCCAAGGAATAAAGTGACCGGCATTTCGGCTCTCTTCTTTTGCAAGGGTACGTCAGGGAACGTGGTCCGTTCTTACCGTTTTGTTAATTAGATTTATGTATGATAAATGATAATTTTAGGTCACAATATAATTAATTAATAAATTTAATTGTTCAAAGATCAAATAAATGAAATAAATATTAAAATATTACAATTTATTCTTCATAAAAAAAAAATCGAAACAAAACATAAGCACCAACAATCTTGTTGATAAGCACCCTGCCTGCTTGGTCGGCTTGGTCATTGGTTCATTTTGGTTTGAAATTTGAACAAGGAACGAAATGAACGAATAACAAATCCTGGACCTGGACGCGACTGCAGCGCCACAGGAACACAGCAATAACAAACAAAAACAAACTTGTTTGGCGCCAACCAACTGATTCGCCGCTCAGTTTTTAAGTTTTTAATCCAAAATTTGACGAATTTGACCTGAAATTGAGTGAAGCACGGAAGCAAAAATTTCGGAAAATGAGCAGCAGCGACAGATCGAGTGGCGGATCAGCGGGGACTGACGATCCGTCGGATGAATCGCCCCCTTCTGTTGGACGACGACGTCAAAACAAGAAAAGTAAAATCGAAGAAAGGTTTAAAAATCTGTCAGGTAAATTTTAAGTTGTGAAATCAGCAAGTTTCTGATAAATCCATTGTCGGTAGAATACACTAAGCGGAACGGGAAAATTTTCACCGTGTCTCGGCTGCATAACTTGGACGTGCGAGAGGTGGCCATCAAGAGTTACAAGAAAACCATCAGGGAACGCATCAGGGGTGTTTTAGCGTCCAGGACTGGTGCAACGTACAAAGTCGACGCGATCTTTGAATTGAGAAAAGGGCTGGCAGAAACGAGACATGACGAAGACACGATTTGCATCGAAGTGGTGGTCACACCTCCGACAGAAGAGGATAACGACGAGGTCTATCGAGTGGAGGACGCAAAGTCAGTCTACCTGGGCTACCTCATCAGCAGAGGCAGAGACAAGGCGTATAAATATGCAGCACAACTGCCTGTTTTACTCAGTTTCAAAGGCACGAATTCAATTGTGTCGTCAATCAATTCGACTCTAGAGGTAATTTTTTAAGGAAAAAACTGTACACAGCATTAAAAAAAATTTTTAGGTTTTGTTTGACTGCATCGTGCGGCCGTTCGAGTTTTGTTCAGAGTACATGGAGCAGATTTTAGTTAAGTGCCTGACAGTCTCTACGGAAGACAAGCCAACAATCGTTTTAGGGGTCACCGCTCCCAACTTCAAAAATGACGAGATTGCGGAGCTTGCCCTCCTTGCTGAAAACTTCAAAGACCTCCAGAGAATGTAACAATATTATCAAAAAATTGTGTTGACCAATAATTTGAATGGTATTTAATTTTCAGATTAAAAACTAGCAACGAGGAAGAATTGCAGCGGAGATCTCAGGCATTGTTTGAAAATTTTTATTTGGGAATGAGAGAAAACTCCAAAATGAATCTGTCCAGATGTTCACTGATCAAATTCAAACTCCAGGGCATTATCCTCCACAACTCTGGCAAGGTAGATTTTTCACAATATTGAAGTTAGGGATTCTAAATTTTCATATTAATATTTTCAGTTCCTTATTTCCAACACAGAAGTAATGGCGGTGTTCTTGAGGAGTATCTGTCAATTGTGCCTTTCGATTGAAGTCGACCACCTCAGCAGAGTTGGCCTCACGTGACTGTAATTTGCCTTAACAATCCTGTTCATTGTCAGTGCAGGTAATTTTTATTTAAGTTAATTTGTTATCATAATAATTTATTAAGAGTTTTGTGTCTACCATAATTTTATAATTCCCCAAAATCTACGTAAATGAAAATGAATTAAATGCCAAAAATTTTATCCACATTTAAAATGAATGTGATTACAAAAATATCATAAAACAAAAAATTTTAATTAATTGGAAATAATATTATTAATTCATCTCTAGTTAATTTGATTAAATTTTGGTTTATTTCAAGAATTGAGAGAAGATAAAACAAAAATATTTACTATTTCCATGAAACTGAAAATTCTAAAACTGAACGATGCTACATTTTATTATTGTGAAACAAATTTGATAATGATTGAGCACTATGTGCTCCAAATTAAATGAGCTGGCCATTGATTATGTCCCTTTGAGACATTTGCCGATTCAGGGTTATAGAATGACATGTTTTTTTTTATATATATAAATTGACTGATTATTTTTATTGAAATTAAAGCAAAATGGATCGAATCTTCAATGTTTTTAATTTTACTCACAAATAATTGAAAGATTAACCGTCAAGACGCGCAGAATAATTGAGTATTTTTCCAAGAACAATAATACAAAGAATTACTCACGTTTTGAAAATATGTTAGTCAATTCCGTGATAAACAAAGGCGATAACGTAGCCGAGCGTTTTAGCGCCTTGTCTTATCTTATCAGACGCACACCCTGTCCGATTAGTCAGGTGTTGCTGAGACCGAGAGTCGCGTCCAGGCAGCGAGCATGGAGAATCCGCGGGCGCCGGTTCTGCGCGCTGAGCGCCGTCTGATTTACGTTTACGCCCTGGGCGCCTGCTTTTCCATAATCGGGCTCATCTGCACGGCCGTCTCGTTCGGCTACTGGCACTTCACGCTGGACGAGTGCGAGGGCCACCCCAATTCGGACCAACGCCACTGTGGCTGCCTCTTGTTCACCGAAAGCTCGACTCGGCTGCTCATCGGCGGTGACACGCGGATTTGTCACTTCGTCGAGTTTTCCTGCATACCTGGCATTGCGGTCGGCATTATCATGGCCGTCTGGCACTGGTACAGGGTGGCATTTGTCCTCAACAAAGCACCAAAGCCAAAGAGATACAGGTAAACTCGCAATTTTTTTTTGTTGAATCGAAAATTTTAAAATTAATTAATTTAATGCAGATTTAATGGTTTAAGTAGATCATATTTTTTATTTTTTCCTTTAAATTTGCTTTATGTGGAGGATTGGATTGTTTTATATGTATATTATAGAAATAGTGTCTCTTTCGTGTTATAATTTTCATGCAGGGCTTTTTTTAATATCATGATTTTGTCCTCTTTATACATTTGTTTCCAATTCTCTATAAAATTATTTTATTTAGTATGAAAAAAATTAATTAAATCGCGTCATAATTGAACACTTCTATTTTTTTTTTTTTTATGAAATCAATATTATTGGTTTTTATGATCTTCTAAATTTTTATTAGCTAATTTCATTTCAGACGACGTCCAGTGAACGCCCAAGACGACATCCCAGGGTTTGCCGAAACTGTCCACAGGGTGGAGGTGGTGCAGAAGCCCTCCGTGGTCAGAATCGTGACCTGGCTGACCGTCTTCTTTGTGGTCATGGTGGTCGGCGCCCTGAGCCTGGCGTCGGCGGTCACTATCACCATCGGCACCGTCCAGTCATGTCAGCAGTACCGCGAGAACCTGATCGAGACCCTGTCCGCTGACGGATACATGGCCGCCCTCATCAAAGACCGGCTGTCCTGCCAGGCAGTTTTTGACTTCATGGACTACCTGCTGCCCATCAAAGAGCGCTACTCGGCCAACTTCATTAACACGGGCGTTGCTCTGCAAATGGCCATTGTTGCAATTTGGTTTTCAGCGGTGACGTTCATTATGGGGGCGGTCATTTGCTTCATTGAAGCTCTTCGTGGATCAAGAATTTGTTGCTCACGACGATAAAAGACTTTTATATTAATTTTAAAACAACTTCTTACAATTTCATTAATTTATTGTATATTATTATCCCTGAATCAACATTAAAAATGAAACACGATCAATTTTTTATCTTGTTTTATATTTATTTGAAAATTTGTTTTTTTACGCAATTTTTCAGCTCAAATTTTTAATCAGACTCTCAAGGTACGCATTTGGGCTGCAGTTCTTCAGGCTTGGGGATGTACTCAGGGTCGCAGGAGGTTCCCTTGACGTCCTTGATGATGTCTCCCCTGAGCACTCTGAAGTTGACCTCTTCGGGGCTGAGCTCTTTGTACAGGTACTTGTGCAGCCTGTCCGACAAGACCCACACGTTATTGTCGTCGATGGTCAGGTCGTTGGGCAGCGAGAGTTTTTCGTCGTCCTGGTACAGGGTACCGCAGAGACCTTCGTAGTGCGGTTGGTGGGTGTTCCAGCAGCCGATGGCGTTCCGGGACACGAGGTTGTACAGAAGGATGCCTTCCTTGGACATGGCTGACGCAGAGGCCTGAGACAGTTTGCGACCACGTCGCTCAGCGAGAACCTGCAATTGGAAAATTTTTAAATTTATGAAAATTCCAAATGTTTTTAGTTAAATTAATGAAAGCAAAAATCAAAAGAAATTCATTTTTCCTTAAAAATTTAAAGATATCATTTTTTTCAAACTGTAAACAATATTTCCTTCAAATTCATCAAACAAAAATTATTTTATTTCTTTATGATAATAATGAGCTGAGATCTGTAATGTTTCATTTTGAGAAGTTTATAAATATGTTTTTAAATAACGCTTTCCTTTGAATTTCAATTTACGTCGCAATATACCAATGAAGTTAAATATATATATGGTTTAAAAAAATTAACCATCTAAATAATTTTTTTAATAATTGTCATTATAAAAAATTATCTCACCTTGAAAGCATCCCCGGGTTCGCCAGCGGCAGTCTCATTGCGGAGGATGTGAGTCGGAACGGAAAACTCGTGGAAGCTGCTCATGGGGTGGAAGTAGAGGGTGCGGTTGAGAGGGTTGTTCTTGTCCAAGGGGGTCAGGGCCATTCCGAATAGTCCGTCGATCCACTTGAAGTCGATGCCGCCAGCGTTGAATTCGCAGGCGAGCGGGTCCGGCAGGAAGTACGGATGTTCCACCCTGTACGAACGGTCGTCCTTGAATGAGTAGGCGATCATGCCGAACGCCCACACGTCGGCGATGTAGGCAAACGCGTCGTCCTGTTCACTGTTGCACTGATCGCCGGACACGTCCAGGGTCAGCCCGGTGAGGAACGAGTTATCCTTCAGCGAAGTTTTCGGGAAGCGGTAGCGACGCAGCAGGGTGTCAGACTTGAGGTCGAAGATCAAAAGTTGGGGTGGGCAAACCTAAAAAAATAAAAATAAATAGAACCATTTTCTTTAATATTCGAAAGAGAGCCCATTTTTATAATAAAAATCGTATTTTTTTTATAATTATTTTATTTAATAGAATTAATTTTAAATAAAAGATATTTATGACTTAACTATAATCTTCAAAATATAATTCGCAAAATAAGATAAAAAAAAATTATAAATTTAATTTTTAAAGATATTTACGTAGATTAATAAATAAATTATATTAAATTTTGAAATCTTAATTTTTTATTTTAGAGCGGCGGTTTTTCCAGGCTTGTTCAGTTTAGTTCCTTTAATATTAATATTAATTTTAAACTGCAATTCTTGATAAAAATAAAACTATTACATTTCCTCAAATATTTTCAAAATTCATGTTCTAATTTTATTCTTTAAAAGCAATTTGACAACAAAAAAGTAATGCAGTTAAATTATTTTGAGAAAAAGTGAAATCTTAATCAAAACTTAATATATTATTTTCTTTCAATTTTAAATTAAGGATGTGCATGTATTTTATTTAATTTCAAACATTTACCTGCTTGCCTCCGAGGGCAACTTTTTCCAAGCCAGAGTCGAGAACCCAGAGGCGGCCGCACTGGTCCACCTCCATTCTGAAGACGGAGGTGAGTCCGTCGCAGTCACCTTCAGGACGCTGGTGCCAAGACCAGTTGGGGTAGGGGTTGAGGAGGGGCGAGGAGGAGGCGGTATTTTTGGCGGCATCGAAGGGAACGGTGGTCAGGGTGGCTGGGGTTCCAGCCTTCCACTTTGGTAGCGAGATGAACACGCGGCCCTCGTAGTAGGCGATGCCCAGCGGCAGCGCCTGCTTGGGGTCGTAGGTGCCTGACTTGAGCGCCTCTTCCCTCACCGAGTTGTTGGAGAAGTTGAAGTCGACCTGCTTCCAGGCAAACACCTCCTGAAGCTCGGCCAGCGCTCCTGGCGCTAAGGCCATCACGCAAAGTGCCCACAGAAAACGCATTTTCGTTTTCTCCTATATATAATGAGGAGATTAAAAAAAAAATTATGAACGTGTCTCTCTTATCAACTTTTCTAGATTATTTTTTGAGAAAAATCAGTAATTTTTTAAGTATTTTGATCGATTTTCCTTTCAAAAATTATTAAAAAAAAAAAATGAATAATAAAACTATGTGAAGTTCCCTTAAAACTTTTGATTTATGCAACCAGCTCGACATTTGGGTATATTTTTTGCCTAACCTCAATTCCCGCAGGCGCTAGACCAAAACGTGTGCAAATTTTAATGAAATTTGAAAGCAACTTCACTTTCGAGTTGTGAATTCTCAATAAATTTTCACTTTAACTGGTTTTGCTGTTTTAAGCTGAAGGCTCAGCTCAAAAATGTAAATTGGGAGAAAGTTTAAAAAAAAAATCTATTTGGCGCAGTTAGAACAAATTGCAAGTATATAAACAACAAATTGTTAAAAGAATTAAAAAAAACCAAACAATAGGTATAATATAAAATAACCTTAGGAACTTTTCCTGTAATTTATCGTAAAAAAAGAAATTTGGCACTTTCATTCTAAATTTATCAATTAAAATGCGTTTATTAGTTTGCTACAACCCTTAAGGCAGTTGCAAGCTATTTGAATAAGTTTCCAATGAAACTGAAAGTTTGATGTGTCATAAAAGAAAGTGGGCAAGTAGTCTACTTTGCAATTAAAAACTTGTTCCGATATCAATATAAAACCAGAGGGAACTAGATTTGTGAAGCTAAAATAATTCAACTGCTTTCATGAAATAATTGAACAAAAAGTATTCAATTTTTTTCCAACGTTGCATTTTCTAAACGGGAAACGAAGCTAGTCACGATTATTCCGCTTGGATAATTTCGCGCACCTATATCTGTGTCATGACATATGCAGCAGGTGCAATCGATGAATAGTAATGACCATTACTGACATAGGTGTGTGATATTATCCAAACACAATCAGAGATTACGTACCTTGCTCGGTCGGCGTCCTACCGGCAATAAAAGCCAAACAACATGTACTTTCTCCTTAATATAGCAACGCCGAGCGGAAGGTGGGGGCTCCAGGAGATTCGCATCGACCTTGGTTCTCAAACCAGCGGTGGCTCATCTCATTTAAACTGTCGGCCGGCCAGCCGCGATGCGCATCTAATCTTTTACATTTATTATTATTTTTGACCGGTTGCCTTCGAACCAGGAAACTTTTTTGAAAATAAAATATAAATTATTGGCCGTGACAGCGGTCAAAAGAAAATTTTTATCCTATTTTAGAGAGGTGAATTAATCAGAAAGATTATCTATATGTAAATTATAATTATACATGGAAAATATCATTTATCTCTATCTCTAGTAACATAAAATTTCATACTGATAGATTGCAAAGAATAAAATTGTTAAAATGTTATCTTTTTTTCTATTTTCTCATAATGGGTTGTTCTTTTGAGAGGGAAAATTCGTGTTTTTATTTGTAATATAAAAATCCTAAAAATATTTAATGATATATATGATTTTTAATTAATTAATTCCGCATAAAAAAATTGAAGATCATAAAATGCGAGCATCCAGAATTCCGAGTTATCGTGAAAAATAACGGTGAAATTAAATTAGATGCCAGAAAACCACTTTTTCAATTGTACTTTTTTACGCATATACGCAAATGTACGCAAAAAGTGCTGATGATTAAAAGCTTATTAGTAAACAGCGGCGACCTCCACGTGGAGTACTTCTCTCACCATTCGCAATTTTTCACATGAAAATATTCACCTCTGTTTGCATTTAAATGCCGACCTTTTGACAATTCAATGGGAAATTCTCAAAGGCGTAAAATAAAATGTTGTAAGATTTTTCAGAAAGTTTGTAGCAAGTACATACGGGAGGGAGGCCGGGCATTTACTTTTTTACTACACAATAGCCTAAACGTGAGTTTTGAGCAGAGGGGAAAAATCATTTTCACTTAAAAAGTCCACAACACTAAATTTTGCTGATTTAAGAGCACTATAATATGCAAATAAAATTGGGACGCCGAAGAGCTTTTTGGGAAATATTTGTTTGAATTGTTTGCTATGCAAAGCACTCTCCATCTATGAGTGTAACTAAAATATTAGGAAAACTTTTTAGTATCACTAATGGAAGCTTTTTGAACCCTTTTAACACCAAATATGCAAATTTTAGCTTTCATCCTTTAGAAATTGGTCGCCGGTGGCAAGAAGACGTTGAGTTATTAACGCTTTTTGCACATAACTCGTTTTTCAGCCCACACAACACACAAGCTAACTTGAAAATCAACTGCGATAAATTAAAAACACGCACATTTGCTCACACAGCTGCTGTGGGATTCTTGCCCTTAAGGCGCTTGTACAAAGTGAAAGGAAGCACTGGCCTTGGGATTAATTATTATTTGCTTCAATCAACCGGTAAAGATGTTGATTAATTCTGCGCTTGCAGGACCCAGAGAGAGGAAACAAAAGATCATAAGTAGTTTCTAATAAAGTCAATGCTATATTTATTCAAGTTTCTATACATTTAAAACTGACGATACAAAAGTACGTAAGCCATGGCCACATAAAATCATCTTGATAAAAACTACAAGAACTTAAAAAGTAGCGTTTTACATAAATAGCTGCCTCAGTCTGGGGTTGAATAAAATTAAGAAACTAATATTGCATTAACTAAAGAAATGCAGGGAAAAGGACGGAATGTTGTTATTTCAATCAACATCGCATTCTTGGGAGTTATTTAAAAGGACAGAGTCGGAGAAGAAAGGATAAAAAGACTTTCTTTCTTTCACATTTTATGTAAAGCGACTTTACAAAATATAAACCTACCGCACTCGCTCTCGTTTTATTTTGGTCAGAGATCACGTTTATTGTTAAGAAATTGGGAAAATGCACATTATTGGACACAAGCTCGTTGAGATTCAGATTGTGAGTGCGGTGCGATCGAAAGGCATTTAATTTAAGAGCACTTCGAGTAGTATCAAGTCTAGCAGATCTATTACCTTATCATACAAAGGATGAGAAGCCAGGCAAGGGTGCCCTTGACCTGGCTTTGTTATTCATAACTATTTGGCCGCCATTAAGTATCGAAGCTGCCGCAGAAGAAGAAGCCGCCTCGTAGTCCGAGCCCCTCGGTTGAGTTGAAATGTACGGCTCGGGCTCAGAATCGGTGTAACTCGAATAATTCCTGATTGGTTTCTGACGCTTCCAGGACTGCCGCAGAGAGTCATTGATGTTGGCGTAGTGGTTCACAAAAGAGGGCGGAGGAGTTCCCTCACTGTCGTTGTCACTCTCAGTTTCCTAATAAAATTATCAGTATCCTACTTTGTTTTAGGATATTTAAAATTACCTGTGAGTCAGTTGAGCTGAGTTCAGACGGTTTCTCTGTGACACTGCTGTCATCAGGGTTTTCGTCATACCCCTTGACACTATCATCATCGCTGTTGTAGGCAACACTTGCTGGTCGCGGACGAGGCGGAGTTTTACCAAAGACGGCACTTGCTCTATTTCTCCCTGCAATTGATCAACGTCATAGCTCACTAGCAAACAAATGAAGAAATTTTCTTTACCTCTAGTTGACCCAAGAAGGCTCTGGGAGTATGCCTGGTATGGGACATCTGTAGACATTTCCATGGAAGGATCGTTTATGTCATCACCGTCTGCTTTAATAGACTTTTCAAAGTTATTTTGTGCCTCTTCTAAAGACCCAAGAAAGTTAGTTGGATGACAACAACAGAAATAGTTAAAAATTACGTTTGTATTTATAGCTCTTGCTTTTAACACAGAGCACGGCAATGACCGCCACAATGATGATAACTGACATAGCTGCCAAAACCACCATGAACCAGGATTGACGATAAAAGGGTTTCAGCTGGAGATAACCATACTCCAGGTAGAGCTTTGAAGGCGTAATGACCTAAATAAAGATTTTTAATATTTTTCCAAAATAAAACAATAATAGAACATACATTTTCTTTGCTATAGGTTGGATAGCTGACTCCAAATTTGTTGTAAGCAATCACTCTGAATTTATAAGAGGTTGAAGGGAGCAAATTTTGGTATGAAACAGAAAACTCTCTGGAAGGGCCACCCTTCGTTTTTGCCACTATTTGCCAACGGACGTCATCTTTTTAGAAGAAGATTAATTAAAAAAAAAGCAAAATAAGAATATATCGGTGGCTACCTTTCCTTTGGCTCTCAATATAGTAGCCTAGGATAGGCTGCTTAACAAACACCCCATTCACCCAGCTTAGTTCTACTGATGCCAGTGTTCGGGTGAGCGAGAGTTCTCGCACAGAGACAGGTGAACCATCCTGAGGGCCGGTGGTGACATTTGCAGTGGCAGCAGGACCATATTCAAATGTCAAAGCCCTGACAGTGAATGTGTACATGACCTCTTCCTCGAGCCCTTGTATAAGCAAAAAGGTGGCGTCGGAAACCTTTTGTTTCACTTGTTTGGTGTAACCTTATTTACATACATTAAGTTTATCTTCAGAAATAAATATACCATCGCAAGGACTCACGTTCGTCATTTTCAGCAGTTTCATAAGAAACAACGTAGCCCATTATCTTTCCATTTCTGTTGACTGGGGGGTCCCAGGTCACCAAGAGACTTGTCATTGTGATATCAACAAACGTCAGGTTGGCAGGCGGTCCTGGCAAACCTTCGAGTGTAGTGACTGTCACTGGGGATGAGGGAGGACCATCTCCAGCCGGGTTGAAGGCGACGATGTTGATTTGGTATGTGGTGTATTGGTCGAGGAAGACCAAACTGTGGCTTGTACTAGGAGCTGCGACCACTTCCAGTTCCTGCTCGGCACCAACTGGCTTTTTGTAGTCCTTGGTGTTTTCAAGGGCTGGTTGATCAGTTACAACGTAGTAGATCTAAATAACGATTAAATTTATATTACGTTGAGATTGATTTATTTGTAAGTACCTTGTAACCCAGAAGCTCTCCATTTTGCTGGCCTTGAGGAGGTGGTTTCCAACTGAGATGTACTTCTGTAGGTGAAACTGCCTCTGCAGTAATGTCTCTAGGTTTGCCGGTTGGAACCGCCTCTCCGACATAGACTGTTGCAGGAGTTGAGGCAGGGCCCAATCCTTGAGAGTTGTAGGGAATAACAATGATCTCATAAGTGTTGTCTCTCAAAAGGTCATCAAGAATTGCCTCTTTAGTCTGCAATCAACACGTTTTATTATCAACATTAATTGCTACTATTACTTTTACTAACCGAAACACCTGGAACTTGAATACTCGGTGAAGCTTGCATCGCTGTCGGATAATGCGAAAACTGCTGGTAAGTAATTTTGTATCCACCAGTCTGGCGATCTCCACTCCAGAAAGTATCAGAAATGGGTTCCCATTGAACTCGTACACTGGTGGTGGTGATTGGAACAACTTTCAAATTCTTCACTGCCTGGCTAGGAGCTGCAGGGAGAGTCTTGAAGAGAGCTGACGGAGGACTCCAACCACTCGGTCCCAGATCATTTGTTGATTGGATTCTAAATTTGTAGGCTGTGAAGGGTTTCAATTCCGTCACTGTATAGTAGGTGAGTTGTGGATCCACTCGTTCTCCAACAGTGAGCCATGGTCCGTCAGCTCCCTCTGCCTTTTGCACCGTGTAGTACCTCAACGGAGCAAAACCGTCTCTGCCAGGTGTCCAACTGAAGATGATTTGCTCACTTTGAACTTGGCTTCGGCTGATCTGAGGCATTGATGGTGCCTCTGGTGGCTCTCTATTGTTGGTGGTGTAGACCAAAGCTTGTGCGGTTTTACCCCAGCCAAGACGAGTTTGTGCTCGGACGGAGAACAAGTAATACTGCTCGGGTTCCAGTTCTGTGGCTCTGAATGTCCGGTCTGAAGGTGGGAATTCCCTTGAATAGTTGAAGCTGATGTTTTCCTCCAAGTGATAAGAAACTCTATACGCCAGGATTTCTCCATTGGGGTCCTCCGGCACATCCCAAATAATTCTTGCCGTTGAAAAGGAAACATCAGGGAATGAGACATTAGACGGAGGTCCAGGCGCTGCAAAAATAATTTTATTTAGAGTTGCTCTTGATTAAATAAAAAATTGCTTACTGTCTTCAAAAGTTTTCACAGCAACTGGTGGCATACTCAAAACGCCATCACCCAATCTAGTGTAGGCCAACACTTGAATGTGATATGACACATACTTCTTCAACTCCGTCAATGTTGTAGTGTGTGTAGTATTCTTGGGTATTACCTTGTGCTGATAATATGGAGAAATTTATAAAGTATTGCAAACAACGTAATTGCGTAAATTAAATACCTTAAATGGTACTTTTGGTGCTCCATAGAAAACTTTGTAGCCATCAATAATTCCATTTTCATTTCCCTTTGGTATGTCACCCCACTTCACTACAATGGTAGTTGACGAGGTTGCATTAGCTTCCACGTGATTTGGACCGGAAGAAGGGGCTAACAATTTGCGAAAATTAAAAAAAAAAATGACTCTTTAAAGAAAATATGAAAACAAACCTGCTTCACGAGTTCGTTCTCTGGCAGGTGGACTTAATCCTGAAGCACCGACGTCATTGAATGCACTCATCTGAACTGAGTACTCAGTGAATTCTTCCAGATGCGATAAAACATAAGAGTTGGCCGTGTGGTCTTCAATGATAAAAATTTTGGCAATTCCATCCAAAGTAAAGCAAGTGATGTTGTAGCCTCTTGGGTTTCCAAACCACTCTAGCTGATGCAACGGCTGCGGAGGTAAAAAAATTATCAGTAATGAATATAAAAATGCAAAATAATGCTTCCTTGCGAAAACTTACAATCCAACGCACTCGTAGCTCTGTAGCGCTGACAGCACGGACTGTAACATTCTTAGGAGAGTGCTTTGGTGGTGCTTGAATGGTTTGGAAATCTTTGGTTGGCTCTGATGGAGGTGAAGCTCCGACAACATTCACAGCTGTTAGTCTCAGTTTGTATTGCATGAATGGCAGCAGGGTTTTCACAAAAATTGTCATAGCATCTGGATCAGACACTTCCTGCAGCACACTCCAAGTTGTTGCTCTTGAAGTTTGTCCCTATTAAGAAAAGAAAGCGCACATTAATTTACCGATGTAAATTAAAATGAAGATTGAATGTACTTCTACAATCCACTTGATAATTGAAGAGTTTCCATCAAATCCGGGGGTAAATTGTAGCATTACGGAAAATGCTTCAATATTCGTTACAGCTAAATGCGTAGGTGCTGTGGGCAAAACCGGCTCGATGCCAGACTGAATTGTGGCGGAGGATGCTTCTCCAAGACCTACAGCGGTCTGTGCTTTGATTTCAAAGCGGTAGTGGGTGGTGGCCTGTAATGCAAATTTAATAATGAAATGACAAGGAAGTTACAAAAATCAATGCTTATACTTACTTGCAATCCTTCAATTCTCAGAGAAGTAGTGTTGTCATGGAGTTCCAGAACCTTTTCAGTTTCTGCCTTATCTTTCACCATGTACTTGAGGGTGTAACCAATGAGAATTCCATTTGGATTCGGAGGAGTTCCCCAAGAAACAGTCACCGCTCTGTCACTTACTTCATCAAACTGAAACTTAGCAACAGGCCCAGGAACTGAAATGATTTTTAGTTGAGTTTGAGACAAGAGAATCATGAAAGTATTTACCATCTTCTAGGGTGTGAACTTGAATAGGCTCACTTTTGTCTCCATCTCCAGGGTCAGTGAAGCAAAGTACAGTGATTTGGTAGAGTGCATATTTATCTAGGTTCTCTAAAACCGTCATTTGTTCGGCCAAGGGGTCCAGCAAATTGGGAGGCACAGTCTTGATGATATGTTCCGAAGTATCACTGATTGTATCTGTAATAAATTTTAAGTAATTATAAAGCCAACAGAATTTAAGGAATAACTCACTTTTCCAGGCTTGGAGTTTGTAGCCTTGATTAATTCCATTGATTTTCTGAGGGTCAGGAGGCGTCCACCAAACCTGCACAGCTGTCGAATTCAATGCCGTTGCTCGAACTTTACTTGGTGCATCTTCGGGGACTATTACAAATCATTAAATGTTTTAAGTCAGAAAATTTAGTTTTGTAAGATATTTACCTCCTTCTTTAGTTTTTATTTTGATGCTGTCTGAATAAACACCAACGCCTTTGTCATTGTAAGCTGCCACTTGAATTTCATAGTCTTTCCAAGTAATCAGTTCTTGAATGAGATAATTACGCTGCGCCTCATTGGTCACATTTCGGTAAGACCAGGGGCTGTCAATGTAGCCGTACAGTCTATACCGGATCAAATAGCCCATCAGAATACCATTGTGATGCTTCTCGACAGGTGGCTGCCATTGGATTATGATTTCCGAAGCTGAACGAGCCGATCCAACTAAACCTTGAGGTGGGCCAGAGGGACCTAACAAAAAATAAGGTAGAAATATTTTCCCCGTTATACTAATAACTTACGTTCTTGAGGGAGAGCAACGATCCCACTGGGATCAGACGGATTTCCCTCTCCGACGCTGTTGATGGCACTCACTCTAAACTGGTATGAAGCAGCTGCCTTCAAGAATGGCAAAACCACCCATCTTGCGGTGGCACTGATGTTTGTCAACTCAGTTGTCCAAGAGTGATGAGTAAGTGGAAGCAATTCATTATTTTGCACCTCTCGTTTCTGCACGATGTACTTCAAAATGGGGCTGTTTCCGTCAAAACCAGGCGTCCAAGAGACGTTGACCTTCTTGGTGCCCTCAATTTTGTAGGCTGCAACAGCACCAGGTGCGTAGGGTAGCTCAATGACCATCAGTTTTGCCGAACGGAAGTCATTTCCTCCACTTGTGTTCAGGAAGCAAGTGTACTCGCCAACGTCACCCGCTCGTACTTCCTTTATTTCCAAAGTGCCATTGGGAGTTTGTTGGATTCTTGATGTTCGAGATGTATCAATAGGCCTGAATTTAAAAAATACAATTTATTTTGTATATTTTAAAACATTTTCAACAAAAACTCACAGTCCGTTTTTCTTCCATGTTATTGAAAACGGTAGAGAGTGATCACTGGATACTTTGCACTGGAAAGTGGCCGTGTGTCCAAGTATGATTTTGGTGTCTGCAGGTGGTTGCAAAATTTGAGGTTGCACTGAAAAAAAAAATGAAAAATTAGTTCTCTATTTCAATTAATTTAAGTCATATTAAGCCTACCGAGTACAATCAGCCAAGCAGAGCTCTCGTTCCGTCCCGCTTCATTTGACTGGATGCAAGTGTACTCGCCAGCGTCAGCACTTTGGACTGAAGAGATCAAAATGTCTCCAGACTCAAGCACTGAAAATCTATCTTGAGTTCCACGCAAAGTTTCTCCATCTAATAATGAAAATAAAAGTTTTGCTGATTTATTCAATATTAAAAAAAGGGTACCTTTCAATTTCCAAGTGGTTGTTGGAGCAGGAGCGCCCTTTGCTCTGCAATTGATTGTAGCATCTTTTCCAGCCAGAACTGTCACATTTGTCGGCGGCATTGTCAAAGTCGGAGCCGACGCTAAAATTTTGGACAAATTATTATAACTCAAATGCTCCAGATGATTTTTTACTAAAATTAAAAATTGCTACTGTACACAATGTCAAAATCTGTACAAGATATTTATAGGTATCGAAATACAAGCTAAATTTAATTTAAAAAGCTTGCTGGCTCAAACTTAAGGAAATATGCCAAATGAAATGAAGTTACTTTGAGGAGAAAGAACTCGATAAACGGAGCTGAAAGACACCTTGCTTTCCCGGAAAATTTTGTGTATAAGCGAGGAATCAATTGGAGAAAAAAATAAAAGAGCAGATGTGACGGGCATCGGAGAACGCGCCGGAACGTCTCGCATGGTTATGAGCATCGGAGAACGCCTCGAACCGCTATACAGCCCCGTTTATCGAGTTCTTTACCCTCAAAGTCACTTCGTTTCATCAGGCATATTTATTTCCTGTAACTAGGGCTGCCTACACAATCTCTTTCGTCAAACTTCTGGGAAAGAGCAATTGTAACAGTCACAAAAATAAAACGTTGCAAGCATTGCTTTTAGCTCTGAAAGCTGATCAACTGCATAATGATCACTTATTTTCAAACAACGTAAATCTGTGTCGAAGTAATTGATTGCATTGAATAAAGTGAAACATGTCATGTTTAGTGCTAATGTGATACATTTCATCAGTGGTTGTGCTTAACTGCAAAAGCATGAAATAATCTGCCAAACTCAGGTGCCTTGATTGCCATAATTGAAAACCTTGGACTTGGACTCACTAATTTTAAATTTGAGGTCAGGTTCGCGCAACCTGAATACCGAAGATACGGAAGACCTCTCTATTCTCAAGCCTATTGTGAAGTTAGAAATAAGACAAATATGATTCAATCAGGATTGGAGCAGCACAATTAGTGGGACAGACAGAAGCTCTGATTGAAAGTGAATAAAACTCACTTTTGACTCGCAACCAGGTGTACATGGACACCTCTCCAGCTTCATTTTTGGCCAGGCACTGGAACATGCCTGCGTCCTCAACCGCTACGCTTTTAATCATCAGAGATCCATCGTCCTGGACTTCAAATCTGGAGCCGATTTGCATGCTGAGGGGTTCAGTGTTGCGGTACCACACAATTTGAGGGGTCGGTACGCCAATTGCGTGGCAGGGCAGATTCACAGAGGAAGCAAAATCACTGTAGAACTCTGGACGGAGATTGCCCGTGAAAATGGGCTTTTCTGAAAAATTAATAATTTTGTAAGAATTTTCTTTTCGCAACTGATAAAAATGTACAATTACCTAGCACAGAAATGGTTGCGCTTGCTTCAACTTCAATGGGCTGATTGCCTCTGTTGCTCCTCAGCATTGCCTTGCAGACATACTGGCCTCCGTGTCCAGGTTCAATGTTCAAAAGAGACAGAGTTCGATTCCATACGTCGTTGAGGCTGAATTGAATCCCAGCATTTTCCAGAGGAATTCCATCCTTCAGCCAAATGGTGCTCAGCTCATGTAAGTACCTAGAGTTGGCCACACACTCCAAGTCTGCCGAACTTTGACCCTTGATGATGCGCAGATCCGAGGGCCCGATGATAATTGCTGGTTGGTCGTTATCCTCATTTTCATCGAGGTAGCCCTTGGCGCTGTCCTTGTCAACCGCTAGTCTAATGAAGCCACTGTTCTCCTCTTTTCCTAGCTGAGTGTTAGTGGCCCTGACACTAGAAATGAATCATAATTTTAAATCTTAATTTTTCCTAGAAAAAAATTAATAGAAACTAACCGATACGATTTCTCATCCTCTTCGTCAGCTGCCAAAATCACAAGCTGGTTTTTCAAAGTGACGACATATTTCCTATCATATGGCACCGGCGCATCTTCAGTTTGCCAGGTGACGGAGGGAAGTGGGTGGCTTTCGATCAAGGGGAGATCTAAAATAGCCGCACTCCCGTACTGAACAACTTGAGTTTTCTCCTCCACATCTTCAAACTGGCCCATATCTGCAATTAATGAGATGAAAAATAATTTGGCTTTTATATTGATCTAACAGAAAATAATAACTTACAAGCAACAGAGACGTCAAACTTGTTGCTGAAAATAGCTCCGACTTCGTTCCGAGCTATGCAACTATAGTTGCCTGCGTCTTCTCGTCTCAAGCTTTGGATCTTGTAAAAGTGTTCTGGCAAAAAATCAGTCAACGGGTGGCCATCCTTGAGCCACCGGAATTCCAGTCGTGGATTGCCTATAATCACATTGCTTTTTATTGAATTCTCCTTGTAAAAATAATTTTTCAAATACCTTGAGCCTGGCATTGCAAAATTTTTGTTCTGCCCTCACTAACTATGCTACTGGGTGACGCTGGCTGAGAAATGAATCTCGGAGCTTGAAGATTTTCTGCTGTATTGGTGAAAAAAAATTAATTCAACAACAGCCTTTTAAATTTTGACAGTCACCTGGTGCTGCAAAGGGAAGCGCCAATAGGGTTACAAATAATATCTGGCTGTATCGGCAGATCATGTTGATCGAGCAGCAGCACGATTTATATTGTCAACTGAAAAATAATAAAAAAGGTACATGAAAGGTTGGGCAAACTTCTGTGTAAATGCAACAGGAAAAACCAGTTTAGTGCCTCTTATTTGGCCTTTCGTCTCTTTTCCCACAGGATTTTTGACATTTGACAAACCGCAAAAGTACGCCTTTAGTTCTTCTAGATTTCCGTGCGCTTTTTTTCGCACCTGAAGACCAAATTACGGGACAAGCCAGAGATGAAAGGAAATAGACAATGGACACAGGTGCTGGAATGTGTGCTTTTTGTTATCGTTTTTTTACCTGAATGGTCAACCGTCGTCCATTACAGACAGCTCCAGAGCGGTTGCATTTTCCGCCTCGAAAATGCTCCAGAAGAACAGAAAGTCGCGGAATGCGATCTTTCTGCCGCGAGTGGGTTACCTGCCTGTGCTAAAATAAAATCCGGCCCACCGAAATCATAACAAATGCAAAGAAAATAGACAAATATTCCAGGTGGATCCGACTGCCAGACATAAACAATTTCACGCAGGTTGTGCCAACCCACGGCAGGATGTGAAATAGGTGCAAAGAATTCCTGCGACTGCAGCCAACTTGACGGGCTTGCCATTGCCACTATTGCATTGTCTCTAGTCTATTGACCCCGTGACTAAATTTTCTCATGGCCGTGTTATGATGGAGAACGATGAAATAATTACTATTCATTGTTTAATTTCTAGGCCTTAATAAAAAGAAATTTCATCTCCTCGGTTCAAATCTCAAGCCATTCACCAAAATTATTGAACTTTTTTCCTCTCTCTCTTGCGCTGCTCGGCTGGATGTAAAAACTCGTGGTTTCCGCTCGCTCGGAGCTTCAAGTGATCAAATTACTTTGGCTGTTGGAGAGCGGAGAACTTTTTATTCTACTGATGCTCTCGCGTATCACTATAAAGCACTTTCAAGGCTTCCTTTGTAAAAGCCTGCCTGATGCCGTCACGTCCTCCATAATAATGTGCCATTGTAACACCTTAAAAAAATTTAAAGGCCGGAAAAAGCAAAGTACATTTTATGCTTCTCGGTACATATTATAAAATATACACCTTTCACCAAAAGAGTGGGCTGTGTGTTAATATCAATTAAATAGGTAATATTTATTCACTGTAAGGGCTCGTTTATTCCCAATGAATCAAATATATATTTCAAAAAATTAGCTTTTATCAGTATCAATAACTATTACACGTTTCCAACTCTAAAAATTCTATTCAGTATTTCATCTTGTTTCAATATTATTGTGTGTGTACTTGCGTATTACAACTACTGCGACTATGACATTATATGAAGGCATAAATAATATTTACATACACATAAATATGCTTCCTCGATACACATTTTTCAGTTAATATTCTTTCTGCATTTACCAAATAATTTTTGTGTGTTTAAGTCAGAAGTTATTCACTATATTAGCAATATTTTTTTTTCTTTAATTGGTGATTAGTAATTGTATACAACATTACATTCAAACACTCTTCTTCCAAGATATTCCACAAAAATGAATAATGACCATTGATTCCTAATATTTTGTATTATGCGCGTGTGTTTGGCTTGTTTCGGAATGAGACCTATCTTGATCAGCAGTTACTCAACTAATATATTCAACCGTTATATATGCAATTATTTTTATTATAATTGTTTTATATCAAGACACTGATCACGAGTGTGGTTCATACATATCTCTCCATTAAAATGCAGGCAAATGAACATCAGGTTAAAATGCACACCATTTTTTAAATTTTCATTAATTGGATAAAAACTGTATTAATTTTCCTAATCGTCCTCCGCTATAACTCTCCCTCTCGTCACATTAAGGCTGGGTTTTGTGTGTTTGTGTAAATGATGTGCTCTCATATCAGGTAAAGGACCAACGCGAGTGTCATGGAGACAGAATCTATTTCTTTTTACTCGTTTTTTTCAAAAGACATGACGTCTGCACAAAGTATTGATTTTTGCACAGTTAAATAGTAAAAGGGGTTTTGAACCCTGTTCATTGTACATAAAACGAACATTCATTTGCAATACTCTCTATCGTAATAACATACAGTAGTAGAAGAATATACAGTTGTTTTCTTGTATCAAGATGGAATTCAGCAGTAGCAGAAAATTTAATTCGGCACACCTCTCAGTAACGATAAAAATCACTAAATATCGGTCTTGTTAGAAAACGTGAAACAAAAATTTAAAATTTAAAAGACTAATTGCTTTTGGAAGGACTCTGTGAGCCCTTCTGATCCACATTAGCTAAGACTTCTTCAGTTTACGAAACTGCAAACCTTATGTTTGCATGATAAAAAAGATTAACAACTAAATCTACACTATCCAATGAATAAGTGCGCTTCACAGGGGCAAACACAGAAATATAAAAAATGGTGCCTGGAACACACAACTCGCAAGCATAATTTTTGCTTTAGAATAGTTGATTAATTAACAATTTAGTTCCCTGGCTCTACATGCCCAATGGCACCATCCATGTGAATGCAACAGATGGATAATTTGCGTCGATGACAAAGGACATAACAACAAAATCAACTTTACACTAGTATATCAACTGGATTGAAATAATTTTTGATTGTAAAGGTGCATTTTCTACGGAAGTTGCATTTTGCACTGCTCTGCAAAATAATTAACATAAAAATAATGAAGTGCAGTAGGAATCACTAACTAACTGCTGTACATTTGTCCAATAAATAAGAAACAAAATAAAATATAAAAAAGGTAGGAAGTTGAAAAAAGTAGCAACAGTGCAGTTAGTGAGTAGAAAAAGACATGGCAACACTTCTACTTGAAGTTGAGTTCGGTCCAGAATTAGACAGGAAATCATCAGTGATATTAGAAATGTTTTCTCTAAAACTGCACAGCCTTTGCACTTTCTGATAACATGGTGGTCTAGGCCCCGGGATTTTTCAGCATCCGTTTGCAGCGGAAATCGTAGACACGCCGGCAGAAGAAGACCAGTTCAGGTGCTGCCAGACAGGCTGGTTGGCGGATCCGTCGTTGAGCAGAAACATCATCCTGCGACTGCTGGGGAACGATCGAAGTTCTGGACGAGACACCAACTTCTATTTGCTTGGCTTTTGCTCGATATCTAAAAAAAAACATGAATAATATAATTTCAGGACAAATTCAAAAAACATTAAATTTTCTCATCTCAATTTTTAATATTTTTTAATCATGATTTTGAAATTACCTGCAGTATTCATTAAAGGTGAGAACATAGCACTTGTCCTCAATGCAGGCCACACTGCTGCTGTCCTTGTGTTTTGAGGCAAAAATTTCATCAGCCATGTGATTTGGAAGGCGTCCCTGCTCGGTATGCTCAGGGCGGTAAAACCAGAGAAGGCTCAACATCATTTCACCTGATAAAAATTAAGTTTCAGGCACACTAAACTTTTATTTTTTTTAAATGCTACCATCTTCAGGATTCTCCCAGAGAGCAGTAACTTTTGCTACATAAGGCAGGTCACCCTTCCTGGTGCCAGACTTCAACAAAATGCAGTCTCGGGGCATGATTATGTCACCCTCTTCATGCCTCATTGCTGGGTAGCAGTACCGAAGCACAGGCGGATCATCACTCTGGGATAAAATTGAAAATAAATATATATATTTTTTTTAAATTAAATTCCGAACTTACCCTCAGGAAGACTTTTGCTTGATATGGCTCTCCTTCCCAAGACCAGCCATTGGACCACTTCGGTGCAAATGACTTTCTCAAGCTAACCTTCGTCATCAAATCATTGTGGGCCAACTCCTCAGCCTCCTTCTCAGCTGCCAACGTTGCCTTTTTAGACTTCTTCGGCGCCACATTTTGACCCGACCGCTTTCGAACCTTCTTCGAAACCTCGAGCTTTTCCATTTTCTCTTCCTCAGGTGGATCACTTTGCTCCAAAATAGGAGAACCGTTGACAAGACAGGAGTTTTTAAACTTTGTCCCAGTGTTTTCGATTTCAGATGAATCGAGAGATCTGCTCAACATTTCAAACTCCAGTTTGGTCGGGCTGTCCTTCTCACTCGGACTCAGTGTGTTCAACTGTCTTTGCACCTTCTTTGCCTTTTCTGCAGGCTGCTTACTATGCTTGGTTTTGCTCGACGAGCCAGTGCTGCTAATGGAAGGCGAGGTGTCTGACGAGGTTGGCGGGGTCAGAGGCAAAATCCCCATTTGAGGGGTGCCGCCCTTCGAGTGCAACTTTGCCGACAAATTGTCAAACTGGCCAACTTTATTTGCATCCGCCAACATGGTGGTGGTAATGAGCAGAGGCTCATTCAAATTCAAGTTGTTGTTTTCCATCAACTTTGACCTCTTGCTAGCCAGAGGGGTGCTTGTGATGGTCGAGCTCGAGGTGTGCTTCCTTTTGCAGTTGTAGTTTTGATTGACGTCGGTGGTGTTGTTGTCCACCTGGTCGTAAAAGTAGCTTCCTCGGGGTGCCGACGAGTCGTCCGAGGGCGGCGGCGTTGGTTCAGCTGCCACCCACGCAGGGGGTGTGATCTGCTCCTCCTCCACTGAGGGTGACGGACCGTGAGCGGCGGCCGGGCCTCCGGAGCTCCCCCGTGCTGGACTCGGGGGATGGCCCGGAGCCAGGGCTTCCCCTGGCAGCGCCGCGGCGGCCACTGTCGGCAATACAAAGAGGGACTCCTGAGGTCCCGGCCCCTTACTGTCACCAGTAAGGGGCCCAGTATGGACGTTTTTTGGACAGGACTGCATTGGACATGGACAGGTGGTTTGGTAGGTGGAATCTGCGAACAGAAAAAAATGCACATTTTAAACAGAATTGAATAAAATTACACTTCATTCAATCTTGAAATTTAAATATTTAACACGATTTTCATTATTTAATTTTAACGACTCTTCAACTATTTTTAGGCCATAATGTAACGATTGTGATGACGCATGAAGCGATCGGAGTCGGCTTTTCCTGTTTCTATTTAAATTCCCATTTCACAATCATGAAAATGAATACAAATAAAATAATAATGAGGGGCTTAAATATTTGAATATACATTGTGAAAGGTTTTAACTTTCTTAATTTGCGTTTGAAAAACGTGAAGCCTTCAAACTTTAAAATCTATTTTAATGAGCAATAATAATGACCTCTCAAGGACAAAAGCTGTTGAGTCTTCAACGAGAATTATATTTTTTTTTACAATACTTTGCTATTTTCACAGTTATTGAAGGGCTGATGTTAAGATTTGAAATGAAATACATCAAGTGAATACCTTAAATTTTAAATCAACTATAGTTAACAATAAATTCATTCCAAAATGTAGATTATTACAAAATAACGTGGAAAAGTAAAACGGATTGGGCAAACGACACTAAATAAATAAGCCTAATAAATCGATACTGTTGCTGAGGAGTGCAATTAGTTATGTTCACCTCTCCAAGTGGAAAGCATCGGGAGTAAAAATGGTATAAAATAGTCGTAAAGAAGCTGCAACGCAAACGAGCGCAGATAAACAAGTGTTCAGTGAATAGCCTGTGAGCACTGGAAGTAGTGACGGCAATCAGCTTACGGCGAGAGAAGCGTTTTCCTCGTTTTCCTTGTGGGACGAGCGACATTCACTGCCGATTGGCCTGCGTTTGCACAATATTGCGGCAGTATATACTACAGGGGCAGACTAGATAATACAGCGAGTGACTCTGACTCACTCTGGCTAAAAATTCATCATCCCGAGCAAGTTGGACTTGGCGAATTGTAAGACTTCAATATTGTGGTGCAATCGCAGTGCAGCTGCTGCCATTGCGAGTGCATAAATAGAATGACAATCGATCGCCACTCCTCAGCAACACAGACTTTGAAGGATATTGTGTGGGAATGAATGAATTTATTAATTTTTATTGATCTTTTGTAATATTATGACGTTGGATAGAAGATGTATTTCTTATTAAAAGTGTATCAGCACAATATATAATACAATTTATAACCACTCTTAAATAAAGGCGTCATAAATAGTTAAGTTGTTACAGATCAATTTTTTAATAATTATATTTGCCATAACTTCGGTATTATTTTAAAATGTTTTTAATTAAAGAGTGGTACTTTCTGACAATGTACGTAGTAGTTTTCCCGCGCGTTAAAATTTGAATGTATATATGAACACGTATGGCGCAGTTTGCAAGACATTTCCAGGAAACAATTAAAATTATTATGAATAAAGAAATTGAAGCTATGGGACTTACCCAAATAAGCTACTCCTCTGGTGGCCGGATGGGGCAAACAAGGCCCCACTGGTCCTCCGGGGCTGTACCCTGTGTAGAAATGGTAATGTGGCGGCTCCGGCGGATGCTGCGTAATAACAGGCGGTGGCGGGGGATGGTAGATGGTGGTGGGGGTGGCCGAGGTGGAGGGCGCCTGCAGTTTGGCCCCACTCGTCGAGGGCATAGACTGGAGGTGCATGCTCTGGTTGGAGGTGGAGGCGGTCGGGGGCGCCGAGTAGATGGTCCCTGAGGCGTGTGGGAAGAAGTGCTGCGCGGGGGGTGCGTACCGGGGGTGGTACGTTTGCGGCTGGTACTTGTAGTGCGGCGGAGGACCGTAGCACGGGGGGTAAGCGCAGATTTCGTGGTGGGGCGGCGCCAGGTGGTGCGAGGCTGCCACCAACTGGTGGTTGGCCTGCGGATGGTAGTACTGGGGACTGGCGTACTGAGGCGGCGCCGAGTAGTGCGCGATGTAGTGCGGCGCGTACTGCGGCTGGTAGGTGGAGAAGGGCGACACCTGCGACGAGACGATGCGCGACGGAAGGGTCGACGACGTCGACGTCACTTCGGCGGCGGCCGCAGAGGAAGTGGCGGCGGACGAGGTGGCGATCAGCAGCGGGCTGACGGCAGAGTTGGGGGCGGCCGAGTGGTTCGGCACGATCTTAGGCGGCGCGCAGCACATCTCTGCCCCGGCGTGGATCAGTGGTCCTGCCGGTTGGTAGTAACCTGCAACACCAGGAGCAGCGGTTAGTAGAGTGGATGCAAACAGTTGAGGATTGGTAAATGTGTTTTGGAAGAAAAATAAATAATTATTATCATAATATTAAATTACAATACAATTTTATCAATGGACCGAGGTTTCAAGTCCTGCTTGAGTGGTAATCGAAGTAACAATTGACGAGGGCTAAGACCATCGGAGAGATGATAGAGACGATATGTTTATAAAACAATATGCTATAATATATAACAGGTTTCTATAAATTTCTTAAAATTTAGCATTGTAAATTAGCTCTACTAGAGTTTTTTTTCTTACATTAATATGGCTGATACACGTGGAAGCAATGCACCATTAAAATACTCGTGTCACAAAATTAAGTTGTGATGAAAGCCTAATAAGCCATTTTGTAAACTCTTTTAAAAAGGGAGATTTAAGTTCGACTAGTAATCAATAATTCCGATTAATCTGATGTTGAAAACCAGTTCCTATTTTTTTTTACATTTTAGCAAGTTAGCAATCTGCCTCTTTATTTCAATGTTTTTTTTCATCCATAATCCACTTTAATAACCTTGAGCCAATTAGAAACACTCCTCGCAGTATGCATTATTCGATCTATTTTTTTCTTTCATTCGATTCCGTGTCTCTGCGTGTGCGTGTTTTGCAAACAAAAGCAGCAGCACAAATTCCTGGTGCCATTTTATTGCTCCAACGCTAGAGGCGAAAACTATACTATTTATGCTATTTTTTATTCGATAAAAAAACTGAAAAAGGTCGCTCGCTTGGAAAAAGCATTCGTTCGTAGTTTCCGACAAGGTCAGACTGCTTCTCAGTTTAAAAAAAAGCATAGATGCGCGCAAAGAGCTTTCCGGATCACTGCTTTATTCCATTCTAGAGTGTTGGTTTCTGTATCAGAGAGTGGAATCGTGCCTCGTTGTTAATTGGCAACAAATTAGTACATTCCTTGCTATTGATCGCGAATTTTTAGAAATTCAACTTGTAAATTGGCAACGCTAAATAAATTGGTAAACATTAGTATTGTTTTTATAGTATTTTGAAAAGAAATATTTAATACAACGTTGAATGAAAGCATTATCTTATGAAACTTATGAAAGCCAGCACAAACTAGAAAAAGCAGAACCATTTTTCTTTTCTTTTTCAACATTATGATTTGGGAGAACTTGAACCAGAAAACAAATTGATACCTTTCAACTGCAGGGGAAATAAAACAAAATAATGGAAAACGTTAATGTAGAGGCAGGGTAGAAAGTTCCATTTTGCGTAAATACACAGTTGGCATTTTTTGAATGACGTTGATTTAGAAGCAAAATCAATACCTACCCCCAGTGTTGTTTTCCGTGAACAACGGTTGGAAAAAAACTGACCAGGAAACCCTTTAAGTTATGTTAACTCGAATTTAAAATTATCAATAAAAGCAGATCAAAATATTCCCTTCTCTCACTTTTTATGTGGAGCACATTTGAAAGGTTAAAAAACCTAACCCGCGTTGCAAAGTGGCAGAGATGAAACGCCCGGCGCACAGACGGACGAGATTTAAATTTTTATATACCGCGCCGGCTGGACCAAAACGAGAGCGAGTGAAAAATTAATTCGCACGCCGTTTGCTTTATGAGCCGTAAAACAAATCCCGCTGTTTGTTTGGGTGTCTCCCGGTGGCCAAGGCGGGCACACGCACCGAGCAACAAGTGTATATTGCGCGCTCACACACACATATTTGATCTTCCAATTTCCAGCCTCTCGTACACATAAACAATAATATTATTTCCCAGAGAGGTGCGTTGCATCAAACAAATGCACGCCAAGTGATTTCAAAATAAAAGAGTTGACCTTCTGCTGCTGGCGTACACAACGCACTCGTATGAAATTACACGCTGCTGAATTTTAAGTAGCGCTGCTGCACGTTGGCTGCCAGCAAGTATACAAACGAATTCATGCCACTTGCGGCCGCTGCGATGCAAGCAAGAAGTGCCTTCCGAGCAGCCACTCTTGTTTTACAACGCACATTAGCCGTTAATTTAATTCAATATTATTACACCCTGTCAGAAACGAGATTTAGAGAGTGGTTCACACCTTGTTCGATAAAATTTAATTTGAATCGAATTTATAAAGTCGAGTTGTTTAAAAATGCCATTTTTATTCAGGGATTAATTAATAAAAGTTATATATTAATTTTCAAAATGGAAAGTTAATACAAATTTTAGTCCTTACACTAATGGCAAAGTACTGTGGAAATAAAAAGGTCATAATTTTCACCACATTACCCGCATTTATTTAACAGTGTGATAGTTTGAAACTGTTTATTTTGTTCATTATTTTACTATCATTGTTAACATAATTTAACATAGCTATTTTTTATTTAATACGTTTCAAAATGTTTCCGGCAAGCTCCGTTTATTTGAGATGAAGTTTGGATACTTTTTTACATTTCCAAAGAAACTTTCTCAGTTTAATTCTTTATATTTTTTCCCCTAGAACTTGTTGAAAATCCAAATACATGAAATCGGAAAGATTGCCACTTATTAATTCTATACAATATTAATAAAATATTAATTCAATTTTTACAGTTTTCAATTCACCTGTCGCAATTGCGTTTCAGAATTAAGAATAGTTCAAAATCTGTTGAGTGCGTCTAAATTATAAACTTTTCAGCTCCTTATTCAAAAACTGGCTCTGGCTAGAGGTTTGTTGAGTTGTTTTAAAATTAATCGAGTTGGAGTTTGGCACTCACAATCAGGTAACGAGCGAGCGCGTGTATGAGAGTGTGTAAGCGAGCGAGAGCGGTTATTAATTCGGATCGCGCTTTCAGACAGAATAGCCGCTAAAATGTGGCGGAGTGTGATGTAGGAGAGTTATTCAGGTCATGCATATGCTCCGGCTTTCTTTGCGGCATTAAAAATTACTCGAGGTCCTGATCAATTATACAAACGCTGGGGCACGACTCGCGCGAGCGCCGACGTTGCAAAATCTCCTCGCTGAATTTTCCGAGTGATAAACCACAACATGTGGTCGCCACGATTGAGCAAACACGCGCTCATACAGATTGAAATGTACTCACCACTGAAAAACATCGCAGTCACCATCATGTCCCGCAAACTCTGCTTGAAACTCGATGACATTTTGGTGCTTTTGGCTAGCGCCGATTGTCCCGCAGCATCACGCGGACAAAGTTGCTTGGCACCAAAATAATTCAGCGAAAACGGCGCATTTTCCCACACTAACTAACTAACTACGCACGAGGCGCGCGCGCCTTCTTTTATCAGCGCGTGTTTTCTGGCCGAATGTCAAAAATCCCCAAGAGGATCAATCTCGCTCTCACGGCAGGTTTGCTACGTCGAATCCGAATGGAAATATGGATGCATGATTGTGTACGGTAAACTCGGCTGCGAGGCTGGCTGGGCGATTTACGGACGTCACGCTGCACTCTACTGAGGGGCCCCGCGATCAGCTGAGCTCCCTTCGTTCGGACGACTTTTGACACTTTTCGACGCACCACCCGCGCGAAATGGGCCGCACTGGTGCCGACAAGAACATCATCGGCGCACCGAGGGCACTGCGTTCGCCGCCGATCTCCAACATTAATGACGACAAAGTCCCGCTATAACGACTACGTCAAACTAGCACAAGAGGGGCACCAGCAGGCAGCTCAGCGATGGTGGGAGTAGTTACTATGCTACATACTATATATTGAAAGTTTCTCTGCAACTTGTGCAGCTCGATCGGCAGGCCAGCGAGACGCAGAAAGACGGCCAGCCAATCCGAGTTTTGAATTCGGTCAAAATTAGCAAATTTTGCGCGGAACATAAAATTTTTGAGATCAATTGAAAGATACTTTTTAGAGAGCGATTCTGAATCAAATGATAAACGGTCACGGTGGCAGATTGCGGAAAACAGGTCAAGTTAAAATAATGGTGCCAAACGTGTATTCTGATCAGGTGGGACAGGATTTGCAGTCGATTTACTTATTGGCAAAGTTAAGAAGACCTCGATTAATTTACAAACGGCAACTGAACAATTTTAAAATGAAAAAAGGACAGATGTAATAAATTTTGTAAATCAATTAATTTTGTATTTCATGTTTAATTGAATTTTTTAGATTTATTTTTAGAATTAAGAGAATTTATAAAATAACCTTCATCCAGACAGTAAATCTGAATTTCGGATTCCATAAAAAATATAAATTCTTATGTGTAACGAACACATGCAAACGACTACAAATCCTATCCCAAATGCTCAATTGTCGGACAACGGCAAGAACTAGTTTTCAGTTTGGCACTCGGCGGCCGCTCGTTGTGCTGAAATGTGAAGAAAAAGGGGCGGCGTGTATTTGTATAAAATGGTTTACCTTGAAGATAGTGAGGCTGGTCATGAGTCGGCGGAGGACCGGTGCAGGAAGAAATGGGCGCCGAAAACGCACTGCCGCTGCTTCCAAGCGGAGGCTGGTGGTGCACACCCATCGGCGGCGGCGGCCCCGGGGGGTGATGCGGAGGCGGCCCCTGCTGCAGTGAGGCGGGCGGCTGCATGCTCGACAGTGCACCGAGCGGCGTGTAGCTCTGCGGCGGCGCCGGCTTCAGAAACACGGTGGCCGGCTCACGTTCGCCTCCCGCTGCGTGGTAAACACCCTGTCGGGGCAAAATCAGCACTCGATTTAGTTTGCCAAACTCAAATAGCGCCGATCAGTGTTCGATTGGCAGGCGGGCGGGTGGCCGCCGTCGTCGCCACTGCTCGGGCCGAGCGCTCTCTCATTGTCGCAGAGAGCGTTATCGTCCGGACAGCGGCGGCGAGCGATTATCAAAAACAGTTATCTTACTTCTGGTGCGGTGAATGCATTAATTATTGCCCCTGAAAATTGATCTGTGACTGTTTAATTAATTAATTGGGGTCGCTCGTTTCGTTTGATTGATGAACAAGCAGAGACAATTTAAATTTAACAAGTATGTTGTCTACAAACAAGATAAATAGGGTAGTGCTAAGTAAGTTTTATGGCTCATTAATTTAACAGAATGGCTTTCACGTTAACGAGCTCTTAACGTGATTTTTATTGATTCATCAATTCAAATTTCAATTGTGTTTGCATGTTATTCAAATGAAATTATGTTTGCAAAATTTAAGCCCTAAAATAATTAAAATGGCTACTTTTAAGCTACCAAACGAAATTAACAGTTAAGTAACCAGAGAATTTCTCAAATAGTATAGAAGAAGGGAAATAATCATCAGATTAAAAACAAATATCTTAATTTACTTTGGAGATGTTAATATTTTCTTCAAAATCTCAGTATTTATTAAAAACAGTATAAGTTAAAGCAGACATCTGCTAGTTGTAAACCCTTTCTTCTCTTTTTCAAATCTCAAATTTTTTTGTATCGACTGAGAAGAATCAATAATAATAATAATAATAAACATACACATATAAATTAGATTAAAAACAACACCAGAAACATGTCTACCTGCCACTATTTCATTTGTGTTTGCATGGTATTGAAATGATTTTAAACGTTTGCAATACTTTAAGCCCTTAAATTAGTAAAATGGATACTTTTAAGCTTGAAACTGAAAATGATTCAAATATGATTTTGGGGTAAAAAAAAGTATAGAAGAAAAGAATTAAATCATCAGCTTAAAAACAATTATCTGAATTTAGCATAAAAAAACACCAGAAAAACATGTGTCTACTTGCCCCATAACCAAACGATTAAACGAATCTGTAAAGTGTATAAAAAAATTGTGAGTAAAACGAGAATTTCAAGGATCTCACCGGCTCCGAAGTTGCGGCAGGGTTGTGATGGTGGTGGTGGTGGTGCAGATGGTGGTGCTGCTGAGCCACATACTCTGAGCCTGGACTGGCGGCGGCAACTTGCGAGGGTGGCTGCACCACCGTGGTCGACTTGGTCTGCGTCGACGAAATGCGATACTCCATCCCGGAAATGCAGTAGCCCTCGGTGGTGCGCGAGTTGACGTAGACGCCGGTGATGGTGACGTCAGTGTCGTTGACGATGAGTGCTACCTTTTTTGGGTTGCGCAGCTTGATCACATTGGAGAGTGGAATGTCGTCGTCAGGGTCATCGGCAGACGCATCGTCAGTCGTGCTCTCGTCCTTCATCTTGCGCTTCTTGTCCGCCCTGCTCTTGGCCTCCTTGGCTTTCTTCTTGGCCAGGATCTTGTTTTTGCGTACGCGCACCATGTTGATGGATGAAGTTGACACGGTGTCGCCGTCCTCCTTTTTATCAATGGAGGTCGACGTCTGCTGTTTGACTTCGACAACCTCCACCGTGGTGGTGCAGTTCTTGTTTGGACTGCGCTTCTCGAAGGAATAACTGGCCGCCAACATGGCCGACGCGTTCAGACTGGCCATCCTCTTGCGCACCACCATGTCCTTCAGGTCCATAAGCATGTCAGACTTCTTCTTCTTCCGCTTAGTCTGCTTGGGTGGTGGCGAAGGTGCGGGCGACGACTCCTCGTCCTCCTCTTCGGGCTCCACCCGTTTGCTCTGCTTCTTTTTGGTCTTCTTGGCCGGCTTGGCTCCTCGCCGGTAGGGCACGAGGGCGCCCGAGTTGGACTCGGAGCCACTGGTGCTGCTCTCGGTTGAGCTGTCGTACCACTGACTAGACTTGGTGGTCCTCGAGACGCTGCTGCGCGTGGTGCTGGTGGTGGTGGTGGCCACCTGGTGGTTCTCCACAGGTCGCGACGCCTCGTTCTCGTACATGCAGTGCACTTTGGCCAGGGCGTTCAAGCTGGCCACCCTGTGCTTCTTGGGCTCGCCCCAGAAGCGGAAGACGTCCAGCGGCTTCTCGTCCTCCGAGGAACTGGAGGACTCGCGCCGCCCGGCCGCCTTCTTCGCCTTGGGCTTGGTGACCTGCAGGGCGTGCAGGTTCCTCTTCTTTGGTGGCAGCATCTTCTGCGCGATCGATTTGGCTTGCTTGCTTTCCCGCTTCTTCCCCTTTGGTGCTTCTGGCGAACTAGGACTCGACGAGGAAACGTCTGACTTCTTGCCGCCCTTCTTGGCCGGCAGCGGCGGCGCTTTGACTGTGACTTTGGTACCTGCTGCTTTCTTGGTCTCCTTCTTCTCGGGCAGGGCGGCCGCCTGCGCGATCAGGGCCGCCTCGTCGATGGCCGCTCGCGCCACAAGCCGCTTCTTCAAGGGTGCCATGGCCCTCTTCTTGGGTGGGTTCATCGCCTTGCTCACGGGCTGCTTCTTCGCTTCCTTCAACACCGGCTCCACTTTCTTCACTTCGGGCTCCTTTTTCGCCTCCTTGACCACGGCCGCCGAGCAACTCAGCAGTTTGGCCAGCGACTTGAGTTTTTTCTCCTCGACCTCTTTTGCCTTGGCGGCGGCGACTGTTGCTTTTTTGCTCTCGTCAGCCTTGACCACCTTTGCCGCCGCCTTTGGTTTCTTCTCTTCTTTAATCTGGGGTACTTTTTTATCTTTGGTCCCTCTTGGTTCTTTGGTTTTGGAGAGGATTTTCGCAATTGCCGAATCAGAAAGCTCAACGCTTGCCGGCTCCGGCTTGACCCGTTTTTTGTACGGCGCCCTCTTGCGAACTCTGCCGTCCTTGAGCAACAACGGCTCGTCAACACCTGATGGCTTTGGCTCCTTTTTGGCCGGCGTCTTCGGCTCCTTCTTCTTGGGCCCTCGCGCTGCCGGGGGCGTGGCCTTGGGCGCCCTCACATTCTTTGAGGGAAGTTTCTTGGCAGGCGGCGCCGTCCCCTTACGAGGCTTGGGCACTTTTTTCGGGGTGGTCTTCGGAGGGGGCGCGGTCTTAGTCGTCTTGCCCTTGGGCTGCTGCTTGGCCGGCGGCTGCGGGTTGGACGGCTCCATGTTTGATTTCTTCTCAAGGGCGTCCGGTGCCGCTTTTTTGTCCAGGCTCTTTGCCACGTCCATCTTCTTCAGCTTGCCCTTGGGCTTCTCTCCTGAGGGCGCCTGGCTGCGGCCCAACTTGGGCTGCGCCCGGGTTTTGTGCGTCGCATTTGGCTTGGCGGCCGCAGGCTTCTTTTTATTACTGAGTATCACAAGGGGGCTCTGGGAATTTTTGGGAGGTGGTACGCGGGAAGACCTTACTGTCTTTGAGCGCATCACTATTGCGCTGGTGTCGCCGATCGCGTCGTATCACTGGTGGGGTCTGCTGTGCATTTTGCAGACACTTGGTCAAAGGCGGTGCTGCCAGATTTGGAGGAGCTCAGCTCAGCAAACCTTTCAACAAAAGAATACACACATTGAATTAAAATTTCAAATAAGCAAGAAATATGCATATAAATAGTAATTACTTTGCAATAAAACATAAGTGGGGACATAAAATTTATGAAAATTGGCGAATGTTCACCTTTTTTTGCCACAAGTGAGGGACCTGTTTTGTCATCTCAACCCAACAATTTAATTTGCCTATAATAAAAATAGCGTTCATTATACTCCAAGACACGTATCAGACGGAGATCATGCGGATGAGAAAAACATTTTGGCGTTTCCAACATACTGTGCATTAATTCTTTTGTTTATTCTCCATTCAAAGAACGTGAATTTTCAAATAACTATAACTAAAAACTTTATGATTTTAAAAACTGATTAATTAATTAACTGCAAACAAATTTAACGGCACAGATGATCTATTTTCAGTTGCTAATCCTGTCCTTATTTTGCGTCTTGAAGCTTGAAATAAGGTTCTAAATAGTTTCACTTTAATAACGAAACACATAATCTATCGCCTTGGTGTAACTATCACGTCTGTTTGGAGAAATTGTTGTTCTAGTACGTCACTAACCGCCCATTGTAAGCTACTGGCATAATCAATATTTAAATTGTTCAAACGAGCACGTGTAAAAATGTGTGGGTGAATGCAAACAAAGCAACAGTTTGCCGTGTTTGGGAAAAAGCCTATTTGTCCAGGGTTATTGATTTTAGCTTATTAATTCGCAAACGTGGGTCCAATAATTTAAGTATGAATCCACAAAAATTTAACTCTTAAATGGCATGATATATGAAGAAATGAGAAAAAACGTCTAAAAATATTATTATTAACCAGTAAAAGTCTGAATGCGGAAAAGTTGGGCCAGAAACTCATTCATAAATTTGTTTACTTAAATAAGAATGAAACGCTCAGAAAAGCTGTGGAATGTGGTTTACCTGTCACTGTAATTGAACAGCCAAAAATAACAAACTGACAAGCCGCCATGAGGGATAAATGAAATAGAGCTTGTTTCCGTCGCTTAAAGGATAAATAGGTGTTTGAAGCGCTTTTGTGTCTCAATTTCTGATTACGTAGGATGGATCAGTTTTCCAATAGCTACTTTGACTCTAGTAACATAGTACAAATTTAAATAAAAGAACAAAAGAGCAATTAAATTCTAATCACTTTTTTTACTTAGGGAAGAAAAACAACTTCAGTTGCTATTTTTTATCTTTCTTTTCCTAGAAAAAAACTAAATCCTCATGACTTTCTTAGTTTTGGTTGATTTATTTGCAAGCACGAGCGAATTCCTTCGTCACTTGTAGTTTAAAAATAATGAGCGACCCTCGCCTTGCCAGCGGATTATTTTAGCGCATTTATTTTTGCATACGGTCTATCGATCATTTTGCAAGGTTGCTAGGATACAGCAAATGCATCTGATCGGAGCCAAAACTGACAAGGAAAACGTTACATGAGCAATTTCATTATCAAACAAGCTGAAATTGACTTGCTTGTGATGAGGGAATAAATAAAATTGATGCTTCTTTTTACTCGTCCGTGATTTCTATTTTAAGCAAAGTGATAATTTTAAAATAAACTAGTTTTGCGAAATCCAGAAGTGTTTCATACGAATATTGATTTTTTTTCAATAATGAAGAATTTTTTCAGTGATCATATTCCAAAGCGGAAGAGATTGGATATTTAATAACAGATGAAAGAACAAACAAGCTTTTGTTGGCGTAACACGCGACAATGTGATTACAATTTCGCATCGCAAACTGCCCACTTTCCACATATCTCAGCTGGATCACGATGAACCATTTAAAAATCAGATTGTTTCATGCAAATTTTAGCGAAGTTTAGTAGCTTTTAGGTTTTTTTTTTTTAATTGGAACCGGACTAACAAAGTGTTGTTGATAATTTCAATTTATTTATGTTAAAAAAAGTTAAAAATATGTAATTTGACCATCAAGATCTGCGCTCAATTGTCAATATCAATAAATTAAATCATTTTTTGAGAATCTAATTTTGCAATGATTATAATAAAACTTCATCGTAAAATACAAGGTGCTTTCATTTTCTCCACATTTTATAGAGAATATATTAATAATTTTATGAAAAATTAAAAACAACAACAATAATAATAATTCCGATATTGAATCAAGTTATCATAATTTGCGAATTGAGACAAAATCTTAATCTGTCAAACAGACGAAATGGTTAAAGTTAGTTTTATTCATTCTTGCTTTAAAAATTCACACTTTGATAGAAATTCAAAAGGGATTTTTTTCAGTGCAATTTTTTCTTAAACAAATGCACGTGTTCAAAATAAAACCCAAAGTACATTTTTTTAACCGTGTTATGGTCGTGTTAAAACTTGGAGCATAACGGAGTTGAAATCAATGAAAAAATTATGGAGCAAATATTGAAACCGGATATATCACAATCAACACGATTCGTCGGACAGCTCAAAGACGGGAAAATGCTAATCGGCAGCCGTAAAAATACGAGCAAATTGAAAATCAATGTCGAAATAAATAATTGCCTCCGCCACTATCTTTCAAATCACCGTCGCTCGTCGACCAGCTGCAAAAACAGATCGATCCTTCACTGCACACAAAGAGTGCATTCGAAATAAAAAATAAAACAAAAAAAAACAGCACCACTGGGGGCGCCTCGTGAATTCAATTCCGCAAAAAAAAATCGCCGACCAACACTTGTGGATTTGGCTCAAAAACGGCAATAAAATCCTGCTTGTCTCTCATCAAGAAAAAAATTGCAAGCGGTTTTTATGTAACGGAACTACACACGTAACTGACCCTGGCGAAGGTAGAGGAGAAAAATAAATTGAATAAATTATCGCAATTGGCTAATGCCGTATTATTATTTATGTAAGCTGTACATTACGCCCCTCTCTTTATACATATACTCGAGGATAAATATTTACACAATCGCTGTCACAATAAAATGCATCTCCGACGAACACACACGCGCCAGCAGAGTGCAGTAATAATTTAAATTCGGTGCCCATGTATGATGCACACGCTAATGTATTCCGCGACGCGTTTTCGGCGTGCGAATTTGGCGGTGCGAATAACCCTTGCTGATTATAGCGAGGAGTGAACGAACTCGCGCCTCTTTTCGTCGTTCTGCATGACTGTGCAAACACGTTTCGTGACTCGGACGTGGCGAAAAAGGCTAAGATTCAACCAACAGGGGGTTTGGGGAGGCCAGTAGAGGCCGTGGGCCGCGGGGGCCGCCGCTCACCTGGCCGCTGCGCGGGACGATCTCGCTTCGTGCACCGAACTCGTTCCGAATTGGGTTGCAGTGGCCGAGTGCGGTTGGCGCGAACGTGCGGCCCAATTTGGGCTGATCTGGTGTTGAACGGCACCTCTGCGGGGAGCGCTGAAGGGTTAAGTCCAACTTGAGCCAAACAGCGCTGCCAGGGCAGGCCTAATGTTCACATTATATTCGCCGATGCACTCGGTGTTGAAAACATTACTCATCCCTCGAGGAACAACTGTAATGGCGCACCCATTTTGATCACACTAGTGCAGCTCATTGTCAGCTTACGGAACTAAAGTGTTGCGTAAATGCACGACTCCTTGCAATACGCCACCCCAATGTTTGACTGTTGCCGCCATCTACTGCGGTTAATGAAAAGCTCGAAACCCCTTAATAATGCCCTCTATGACCCCCTTCTTTCTTTCTTTGTGCCTTCCTGGCTGTGTGTTGGTCGATAATCAGATTAAGTTCCCCTTTCGCTTTGCCTTCGGGCGGAGTATTGCGTATTGTTGGTGGAGAGTGCGTACGGGAGTTGCTTCTCGGTACCGAAACGGTTGCCGTGCAACATGTATGGAAATTTCCACTCCTCTGTCAAATCCCATTCGATGTGAACTTCCGCGAGGACCGCGAGTCTTGAATTTTATATTGATTCTTATGGAGATTTCAAATTTGCCGCCTTTAATTAAACTTGGCAAAAGTGGTGACGATGTATCATGGCTGCCATTGTAGCAGAGATCCAGCGTTCTGATTGGCTAATAGCGAGTTGCCGACTCGCCATGTTCCGTTCCGTCTGTTTTGTCGTCGTTTGTCCTCTAATGGAATGGAGTCGATGTTCGGAAGCGATTTATAAGATTTAATTTCGCTGAAAATAGCCACTTCAGGCACGATCTGGACTTTGCAGAGCTTGCATTGCGGTATTTATGAAATGAATTTCCAAATTTCAATATCTGTTGGTCTCTGGATGTTCGATTGTTCGCGAATGAACCCTTTCCCTCATCCTGCAAAAAGTGCGATCTTGCTAAAGTGAATTCGTTTTCAAGGTCTTTTTGCAGGGGTCTAGTTGTCATGCTCGCAAGAGTACATTTTTTTGGCCCCTGGGGACTTTTTTGCTTGCAACATGCATTGATGGACAATTATGTATACAAAAATTTTTTTAAAGAAATATTTATTGTTATTTAGTTCTATGTAGCTAGTAAGAAACATAATATTGAAAGTTGAGAGAAATTTTATTGGATTGATTTTCAAAATTATCATAACCTACAGGTAGAAAATGTTCATAAATTTCTAATTTTTTGGTTGGGAGTGACAAATTGGTTTGTTAAAAATATTTTTGTTCCAATAAATTTAGTCATAAATAGCATTTAAATTTATCCAAATCATATCTATGATATATTATGTTCAGTGCACAGAACAGTCCAACGAAAAAAATGTCTTTAACTCAACGATTTTTTTCTTTTTACCTTATCATCACTTCAAACTATAGTAGATATTGATGAAACAGAAATTTTAATTATTTTTAATCAGATTCCGACGATTCCGTAGAGCCGTAGAGATTACATGATTTAAAAAATCTCTTTGAAATTATAATTAGTTTTAAAATTATTTTGTTTACAGTTGGGAGATTACATAACGCGACTGATCAAATGTACGCAAGTGATGGAGCTTGTGCGGCCACCACCCTTCTTAAAATGAACGAAATCCAGCAACTCTCCACAGTTGGTACGTCACGGCACTTCTAGATTAATTTTGTAAGAGTGAAATGAATTTTTCTTCCAGGTCTCCTTGAACTTGCGCATCGCGAGTACCAAGCTGGAGACTATGAAAATGCTGAAAGGCACTGCATGCAGCTGTGGCGGCAGGAGACCAACAACACCGGTGTCCTCCTCCTCCTGTCTTCTATTCACTTCCAGTGTCGCAGATTAGACAAGTACTAAGACAAAGCATTTTCTTTTTGTCCTAAAATGATTTTTTTTTTTAATTTCTTGCGCAGGTCTGCTCACTTCAGCACTTTGGCAATTAAACAGAACCCACTGCTAGCCGAGGCCTACAGCAACCTGGGCAACGTCTTCAAAGAGCGCGGCCAACTGCAGGAGGCCCTCGAGAACTACAGACATGCCGTTCGGCTGAAACCAGACTTCATTGATGGCTACATTAATTTGGCGGCTGCCCTTGTGGCCGCTGGTGACATGGAGCAGGCTGTTCAGGCCTATGTGACAGCCTTGCAGTACAATCCAGTATGATCACAATTAAAATTTATTAGGATTATGCCAAGAATCAAAATTTTTTACAGGATTTGTACTGCGTTCGAAGTGACTTAGGTAATCTGCTGAAAGCTTTAGGGCGACTCGACGAGGCAAAGGTAAGCCAGCAGAGAGTTTCAGCCCCAAAAAAATGAGTCGCAATCCCCATAGTAGGCCCCAATTTGAGGGCAGTTTGTTGACCATTGATAACCATTCTTGCAGGTTTTACTTTCAAACCTTTCGTCTCGTTGACTTGCCTGCTAAGAGTTGCAGCAATGTAATTTAAAAATCTTTCGTTTACATATGGGCAGATATTTTCTGCATTGATCGCGAATCATTGCTCCTGCTCGACATCTGCAGTGCGCTATGTGGCTGAACTCAAAACTCGTTATCTCCTCAGTTTCGAATATTCCTTGCATTATCGGTGAAAGGAGAACAGATGAAAAATTCATCCCTGACCATTGCTAAGTTTGTTTTTTATTTATTATTTATTTTTTTTTTTTTTTGAGTTAGGCCAATACTGCAGTAGTTGGACCAAGGGTGGGCTGTAAAGTGTAAACTCGGTTATTCTAAAAACGATTCGCTCAAGATTGATAAATTTGGATGATCATGTTGAGCAGCTGCTTTCAAGCGACTTTTCATTCCAAATTCCTTTAAACCATTCAGTCGCTTAGCTGAGGCTGCCAATAAAAAAGAAACCACGCAAGCCTAGTTAATCTCAATCATGAGTTTCCAAAGTTCTTGATCTTGAAGCTCGGGACCCGGACATTTCCTTTTGGCTAACTTTGGCCCCGGAAAAGCCTACTCGTGGTCCTTTGGCAAGTCAACATAAAATTGCAGTTGCCTTCGCTTAGGCAATTGCAGCGCAGCGTAATTTTCAATGGCGCAAGGACCGCCCAGATGACGCACGAGAAGTGGAATGATCACACGCCTGATCTGGACAGTCCATCCATACTTTTTGTGACGCAGTCATGGAAATGAAATTTGCAAGGCCAAATGGTTTGCAAGCCGCAGTATCGGTGAAGCAAAATTGTGCTCTCGCTCTCTTTCCTACTTTCAATTCCAGAAAAGAAAAAATCTCTCGGCAACTCATATTAATAAGATTCTTTCTTTCTCTTTCCCCCGATTGTTTTGCCAGACTAGGTTCAATTCAAGCTGGTTTCGATCTTGGCACGGACGGCATCGAAAAATGTGCTCCGTTTACACCTGAAGCGTATGTTACATTTACAGATGAGGGCCACCTTTTAATTTTAACCTTTTGCGTGCTGGGCTTATCAATCAATATTTTTATTTTCCTCTCACGTACACGTTTTCAGTAGCATTAGGACTATATGATTTATTTTTTAATAACCGTTTGTTGATGAGCCTACACTGGAAAGGATGTTTTGCCAGTTTTTCAGAGTCAACCACCATTCTTTTCTCGGCACAAGTATCCAAATGCAAAACTGAATTTTCGCAGCTAAATTCCATTCGGCGTTTGATTTGCATTTGAATATTTTGGCCGAAATCCAGTATGATTGGAAAGTATAACTGAATGATGGAAGCAAAACCCTTCGCTCCTAGGGTATTGTTTCCATAAATGGTCACAGGCAAAATTTTAGCTTGACACACCCGTGTGATTTGCCACGATCACACCGCGCTTGGGCGTAATTAAATTCTTTTTCCTTTCAAGGCGCTGAGAAATGTAAGTCATTTGCCATAAGAATGAAACACTTTCCAAAATTTGAATACTACTTGTCTCTTGTTAGAAATGATTCCATATGCCTGCAGTTTTTATATTAGTTCAATATAAATATATCTAAAATTAACATGAATGTACCTCGTCCCATTTCTGATTAACTTTTTACCTCCCATCTAGGCATGCTACTTGAAAGCAATTGAAACTCGACCTGATTTTGCCGTCGCCTGGAGCAACCTTGGCTGCGTCTTCAACGCACAAGGTGAAATTTGGCTCGCAATTCATCACTTCGAAAAGGCTGTTGCTCTTGATCCCAATTTCCTGGATGCCTACATCAATCTTGGAAACGTTCTGAAGGAGGCCAGAATCTTTGACAGGTAGATAAAATTTTATTTTTAATTGCATCCACTGGCAGGACAATATTTCAAATAAATTATAAAATTGCTAGACAATAAAATCTATCGAGGAGGGTGCCCAAACTTTTTAATTGAGCTGTAAAATGATTTCAATAATAGAATTACAGGTAACTTATAGTTATATGTTTTATATCAAATTTAAGTTAAATTATCAATATAATTATTTAAATTTTCTAAAATGGTCTTATTACTTATTTATTTATTGCTTTTTTAATAATTTAATTTACCAATAAATTGGAATAGGTTAATTTTTATTTTGTTGCAATTTATCCCAAAAATATGAAATTCGCTTTTTTTAAATCTGATATTTTACTTTGGTTGGAGACGGAGATACAAAATTTGCCATTCCTTGGTCAAGGTTTCACTCTTTACGTGTGACCTACTACCCCCCACCCCCTACCCCGAGCTATTGAAGCGAAAAGTCAAAGGGGTAGGTGGATGCGGAGAAGCCGCAGCGCCCAGCCGCGTTATCTGGGCATGACCTATTTCATGGTCCCAAAAATTGAGGTCCTGGCGGTGCGCGAGAGCTGTAGTTGGCGAAAATCAATAATCTCCCGTTGCCATCACGTGACTCGGAACATCGTCCCCGTCCGTATCTGCCCAATGCGCAGGAGGGCCGGGGTTCATTCATTCAAGTTTGCCGTATCGTCTGATCACTTCTCCATCTCGGCGGGCATGGTTTTGCGGCCAATCGAGCCTTCTCGTCGTTAAGTTTCCGCACACAACGACTTCTAGGGTGGCGTGAAAAAACGAGTTGTCTCGGGACACGCGATGCCCATCTGAGGTCTGCGCATCCTCGCCTCCTCCTCCTCCTCCTCTCTTGATGAACTAACTCTTCATTAATTTCCTCACCTTGAGAGAGAGACAACAGCACTTCATCACTCTTTTCCCTTATTATCATTGCTTTGCTAATTATTATCTATCACCTTTTTCGCTGCTCACAACTTGATTCCATGCTCATTTCCTAGGATACAGGCTTTTTTGTTGCCACTCGGGCGGCTTTTTCTCAAGTAAGTAGGATAGAGCCAAGCTCTTGTAACTCGCATTTCATTTCATTGCTCAAATTTTTGACACAGAGAGCTTTTTTAAAGAAACGAAGACAATTTTTTCGTCCATGGTCTCCGAAATCAAGGTGAAACCGCGATTCGCAAGTTGTAAAAAAATTCGTCCAATATTCCACATGTGGCCCGCAGATTATTTCTAACGCGGCGTCGGTGTCAATTCTGCCGAACCAATCCTTAAAATATCTGATAAAAATATTAATGCGCAGACCTCAATTTTGAAACGTATAAGCGTGCATTTGGCAAGATCATTGTCATTAAAATTATACCACGGAGAAAAAATTCCATTTCATAAACGGTGAAACATATTCTCAATGTTCAATGTCGATGCCTTATACTTTATATCAATGTGATACACGTATTTTGCGTATTTTGTAACCCAGCCTATATACTAAGAATCGTGACAACCAATGTCGGTCTAAGTGTGTGAAACCTGCATTTTCTACAATAAATAGGCAGACTAGAGTTAATTTTGACGAAATTTTGCCAAAGTTGAAAATTAAAATTAAAAAGTCATGGAGTATCAATGCATCATGGTTTACACAATAATTACAATTCTTCCCGGGGACAATCCTTCAGAAAATCGTAGCAGTTCTTACTCCTCCCTTTCCAAATCCTCCCATAAAAAGTCCAAGCACCGATGTAAAATATTAGTAAAAACGCCCAAAGACGGACCAAGCGAGAAAGAGTATGGGTGTTTTGGATGCTTCAAAAGGAGCTTGGAAAGGTAACACAAAATTTCCTGCCAGTGGATGCAAAAAATATTTTAAATGACAAATATGTCCTTGATGAAACAATACAATTTGTTGTGTATTCCAGAGCTGTAGCTGCATATCTTAGAGCATTGAATTTAAGCCCAAACAATGCAGTCGTTCACGGAAACTTAGCTTGCGTGTATTATGAACAAGGGTAAGCGTCCATAAACTGCCAAATTACTACCCCCAGATGCTAAATTTTTTATTTCCAGCTTGATCGATCTTGCCATCGACACTTACCGTCGCGCCATAGAACTTCAGCCCAACTTCCCAGATGCGTACTGCAACCTGGCAAACGCCCTCAAGGAAAAGGGCCAGGTGCCTGAGGCCGAGGAGTGCTACAACACGGCGCTGCGCCTCTGCCCTACCCACGCTGACAGCCTCAACAACCTGGCCAACATCAAAAGAGAGCAGGGCTACATTGAGGAAGCCACCCGGCTTTACCTGAAGGCGTTAGACGTCTTCCCGGAATTTGCTGCAGCCCACTCCAATCTGGCGTCGGTCTTGCAGCAACAAGGAAAGCTGAACGAAGCCCTGCTGCATTACAAGGAAGCGATCCGGATCCAGCCCACTTTTGCTGACGCCTACTCGAACATGGGAAACACGCTGAAGGAAATGCAGGATGTGCAAGGAGCGCTTCAGTGCTACACCAGGGCCATACAGATCAACCCTGCCTTTGCAGATGCGCACAGCAATTTGGCTTCCATCCATAAGGTTTGATACTCTCAATAATTGCCTAAACCCATTCTAACTTGTTCCACAGGACTCGGGCAGCATTCCTGAAGCTATCCACTCTTATAAAACGGCTCTCAAACTGAAGCCTGACTTCCCTGACGCCTACTGCAATTTGGCGCACTGTCTGCAAATTGTTTGCGACTGGAGCGACTACGATCTGCGAATGAAGAAACTGGTAGCAATAGTCGCAGAACAAATTGAAAAGAATCGTCTACCTTCCGTACACCCTCATCACTCTATGCTATACCCGCTGTCACACGAGTTTAGAAAAATGATTGCTGCTAGACACGCAAACTTGTGTGTGGAAAAGGTAAATCAATCTCCTTATCAGTTGATCCATATCACATTTTTTTCCTTTTGTAGATTCAGGTCTTGCACAAGGGACCATACAACTTCCCCGTGGAGCACAGGGGCAGGTTGAAAATTGGCTATGTTTCCAGTGACTTTGGGAACCACCCGACTTCGCATTTGATGCAAAGCATTCCTGGCATGCATGACAAGAGCAATGTGGAAATTTACTGCTACGCTTTGAGCCCAGATGACGGAACTACATTCAGATCCAAGATTGCTAGAGAAGCTGAGCATTTTGTTGACCTCTCGGCTGTTCTCTGCAATGGGAAAGCAGCTGATAGGATTAACGCCGATGGAGTCCACATATTAGTCAACATGAATGGCTACACTAAGGTAAACCATAGTTCAGATTTTTTTGCTTTGTTTTCTAACTAATCATTTCTTAACAGGGAGCTCGCAATGAAATCTTTGCTCTTCGTCCTGCTCCTGTCCAAGTGATGTGGCTTGGGTACCCTGGAACGAGCGGTGCTTCTTTTATGGATTACATGATCAGTGATGAGGTGACATCACCTCTTGAGTTGGCCCACCAGTACAGTGAGAAGCTGGCATTCATGCCAACAACCTACTTCATCGGGGACCACAGACAGATGTTTCCGCATTTACAAGAGCGCGTCATTCTCACAGACAAGGTACTGAATATATTTGAAAATTATTGTAATATTTAATATCTCTATAATAAAAATTACAGTTAACGGGAAAGAAAGACTTGGCTGATAATGTCGCAGTCATCAACGCAACAGATCTTTCCCCAATCTTAGAAAGTACCCAAGTCAAAGAAATCAAGGAAGTGGTGTGCTCTGTTTCAAACGATCCCAACCTCAATGGGAGACCAATGGAAGTTTCTATGAAGGTGGCCGAGTTGCCTACCACAACTCACATTGAGGTTGAATATAAATTATAGTTGGCTCCTTGAAATTTACTGTTAATGTTTTCAGACCATGATTGCATCTGGCCAAGTACAGACCTCAGTGAATGGGGTTGTTGTGCAGAACGGATTGGCCACCACGCAGACAAATACCAAAGCCGCAACTGGGGAGGAGGTTCCTCAAAGTATCGTCATTACTACTAGGCAGCAGTATGGCCTTCCTGAAGACGCCATTGTCTACTGCAATTTCAACCAACTCTATAAGATTGATCCTGCCACTCTCCAAATGTGGGTGAAGGTAGGATTCTAAATTTTTATTGTGAATTCGATTCAAGACAAATTTTTTTAATATTATTTTTAGATCCTGGATAAAGTTCCCAACTCTGTTCTTTGGCTGCTACGATTCCCAGCTGTTGGGGAACAAAATCTGCATAGCGCTGCCCAAGCACTGGGTCTATCCGCTGGAAGGATTCTTTTCTCAAACGTGGCTGCCAAAGAGGAGCATGTGAGGCGAGGACAGTTGGCTGATGTATGTCTTGACACCCCACTCTGCAATGGACACACAACCAGCATGGATGTGTTGTGGACAGGAACTCCTGGTTTGTGAGATAAACTTAGAAAATTATTCGAAACTAAAATTTATTTTTAGTTGTGACCCTACCCAGTGAGACTCTTGCATCAAGAGTGGCCGCCTCTCAGCTCACCACCCTTGGATGCCCTGAACTGATTGCAAGTACCCCAACCGAGTATGAAAATATCGCCATTAGATTGGGCACAGATCGAGAGTTGTAAGTTACGTCAAATAATACTGAATTTTAAATCACTAAACGAACTTTCAGCCTGAAAGCAGTGAGGGTGAAGGTGTGGCAGGCGAGAATGACTTCGCCTTTGTTTGATTGTCGATCATATGCGGCTTCGTTAGAAAAGCTGTATTACAAGATGTGGGAGAAACATGCAAAGGGTGAGAAGGCAGACCACATTTCACTTAATTAATATATCACTCTTTCTCTCTCTCTCTATATGTATTTTCTCATTTAGTTCCCGTTTGTATTTATTATGTGAAAAGAACTTCCAATAAATTGATGCTAAAATTATTCAAATAGTTCAAAATGCGCTTCACATTTTTTTCATTTGCATCGTCATGCGACTTCTGCCAGGACGGAAGAAGCGTCGTCTCGATTTTGAGTCGACAATCATCTGAGCTTGTCTCTTGATGAAATTTCTTGTCGGTATATCTTCCTCTTCCGATTCAACTTCTTTAGACTTTTGATTGTTTTGCTGAATCTCGGTCCTCTCACTTGACGAGCGATGCGTGTAACCGGCTCGACTGCCCAGACGCGAGTGGGACGCCCTCTCCCGAATCCTTTGCTCCTGTTAACGTTAATTAATTATTAATTTTATTGAAAAATCTAAAAATTAAAAATATTCACCTCTTGCTTCTGCTGGGCTAATTTATGAGCTGCCAAAATTGCATCCTCAATGAAGAGAAGGGCAATATGATCAAGGTCTTTTCCTTTTGTGTCAAATTTATTCTCACTCGTGTCAAATTCCTAGACCCCAAAATTTGACTATAAAAAAATCTAAATTTTTTGTTTCATTACCTCAAGAGAGTTGTATATTTCTAACAAGCATTTCATGACCCTTTCTTTAGTTGCCTTCCTTTCCTTGACTTTTCTATGAGTGTTAGTGCATCGCTTTTCTTCTTCGACTATTTTTATCTTAAGTTCCTCAACCTCCTCAGCATTCCTTATAAAATTTCCCAGTGAAATTCAAACTAAAAAAATGTATATATTTCAATTACAATTCCTTGCTTTTCACTTCTGCAGTAAATTTTGAAGCCTCCAACTTGGCCATAAGCTCAGTTCTTTGCGCCTCCATTTTTCTTTTGTCCTCCTCAGTGAGACCCCTCAAATAAGTCAGCCTATTTCGTGTCTCTTTTTGGCTGACAAATCTGTGGGTAACCATGCTCGGCTCCACCTCACCTGTTACCAGAGCGTTTCTTTTTTTTAATCCACTACTATCATAAGATTAAATTGGAGCTTGCCTTCTGCAAGCTCAAAAAAGTGCTTTGTCTTGGCCTGACCCGGACCCGACCAAAATAAAAAATTAAATTCTTAAACCCACCTGTCGCCACCATGAGCTTTTTGTACGTGTCCTCCAAAGCTGAAGTGGAGTATTGACTGTGGTTGTCTTCATTGGGCGCGCCGAGGCCCAGATTGTCCAGGGATGTGACTGAGTCGCGGTGCAACTGCGGCATCACCCCTGACGAGGGGAAGAGTTGGTGCTCCAGGTTTTCCAGTTCCAACCTTCGCTCTTCGACGACCATCCGCTGCTCCTGCAACTTCCTTTCCCTCTCTTTGGATTGTCGAATTGCCAGTTCTTCCTGTCTCACCAGCATCGCCCTGGTCGCGTCCCTCACGTGCAGAGCCTCAATTCTTATATTCTAGTAAAAAAATTTAAATTGTTTTTTTCAGCTTTAATATATAAAACCAGCCTGCAGTTTTTCAAGTTCATCACTTTGCGCTCGAATATCATTCTCAAGTTTTTGCAACGAAGCTTCGTACTTGACAGAGTCGTTGAGCAAATTCACTCTGATTGAAGAGTACTTGCGCCGAACCGTCTCTGCTTCCATTGCATTCAGCTCAGTGTGGTGAATTTTGTTTTCCAACTCACTTGTTCTCTGTTACAAAAAAAAAAAAAAAAAAAAATAGCTGGAGAAAAGATATCTTATTATTTTTACCTGCTTATCAGGAGTTTTTTCAGCGCTTTTTCTTCTCAATCTTTGAAATTTTTCTGCTTCAGCTTTAAGTTCATCTCGGAATTCCAATAAATTTTCATATTTTTCCTCGAACTTGAATTATACCAATAAATATGTGGCTGAAAGTTCATGATCCAACTCTTACCTTGTGATACTGATAAACTAGCATATCTAACTTTTTGTTCAACTCAATTATCCTGTACTCGATGACATTTAGAGCCTCGTCAGGTCTCTTATTGCTCAAAGGGAAGAAATCTCCTTTTGCACTTTTTGCTCTCTGGTTGAAAATTTCTTCACTCTATATATATTTATATATTTTTTTTCAATATTATAATAAATGAATGTCGAAAACTAAATTTATTAACCTTTATTGGTTTTCCGAGATTGGCACACAGTTCTTTAAGCTCATTTTTCAACTGATTTATTTTATCCGCGTTTTTCTTCTTCTCGATACCGCAGATCTCAAATTTGGCCTTTCTCTGACCCTCTACAAATTTTATGTTTGTTTATTTTGCAATTATTTATAAATGTAATCACATACCAGATAACTGAATTTTCTTCTTGAGATCATTTATGTTTTTCAATATTATTTCTTCTGCGCTATTTCCATCCGATGCCATCACTGCAAATTACTCTAGTAATATTAACTAATTATGTAAAGCTCAAATGGTAACCATAGCGACAAACGTTGGAATTCTCATGGATACGTTATCAAGCAAGGTGAACAGGCTCAACTTATTGATTTCAAATTCCATAACAATAAAAGGGAACAAGGACTTAAGTAAAATTTTATATTCCAGAGTAAATGAAAATAAATTCAATATTTATTCATCTTCCTTAATGACAGATTTAAGCTTAGCAGGCACAATTTCAACGGTGCCCTTCTTTGAGTGCGCCTTTCGGTTGTACTCCCTGGAAATTTTCAAAGTTACTAAACGCATATTTTAAACAATACAACAACATACTTTCGCTTCATCTTTTGATGAATAATTCTATGTTCTCTGGAAGCATTGTAGACATGCTGAGGAACCTGTCTGTGTTTGGAAATCCTCTTTATTTGTGGATGTGTTGCAAATTTCTCCTTCAGCGTATCTCCATACTGCATGGCCGCTCGTTCTCTCGGTTTCACCTTTAACCAAATATTATTAGCATCGTTGGCTGAGAATACAATATCAAACTTACAACACCATGCTTCTGCCAAGCAATAGCCTTCCAGAGTCGAAGATTCATTTCGTCTGACCCGGAAATAATGTAACGGCTGTCATAGGTGTAGGCAACACATGTCAGTCGCTGCATTCTCTTTGTGTGATAGATTTCTCTAGATGTGATCTGAAAAAAAATATTGATTTTGTAAAAATTGAACTGATACAAAAAAACGTTGAATATTAAAATTGAAGAAATAAATAATAATTTGTTAATAATTTTAGTTACCTTTGAGGACTCAAAAATTCTGATAGTTTTGTCGTAACTTCCCGAGACAAACTCCATTCCTGTGGGGCAGTAATCAACATCGATGACCGCCGAGGTGTGTCCAACATGCATTGTCAATGGAATCGAAAGGTTCCGACAGTCAAAAGTGTACAAGCTAAAAAGAGCTTTAAAATAACAGAAAAAAATTATTCAAGATATTACTTGAAATCTTCCGAAGCAGCTGTGAAATGGAAAGCTTCCATGGGATTCCAGCAGATTTTGTTTGCTTTCAGACTCATGGTAACTTTCCGAACCGGTCCAGCATTCCTCATATCATAAATCATGATGCTCCTGTCACTACTGCATGCACCTAAATTGATCAAATTTGATATATTTATAAAACTCGAAGTTTACTTAAATTTTACCAATCAAGTTTGTCTGAACTTGGTTGAATTGTACGCAATGGATGGGGTCAACACCCCATTGAAAAGTCCGTAAGGGCTCGTCTCTTGTGCTGTCCCACAATTCCACAGCCTCGCCAGCAGTGACAAAAGTCTTGTCTTCTCGATGGTGGGTAATGGAATTGATCGAGTTCTGAAATAAGGTTTTATGAATAAATTTTTTAGATTTTGATTGATCAAATTTCACAAACTTTGCAAATGATTGTGTTCGAGGGAAGAATCTCTCCTTCGTCGTCGTCTCTTTCAGTTTTCCAAATTTTGATAGTTTTGTCGTCTCCACAAGTGATCAGATGCTCTCCGGATGGTTCGAAGGTCATGCCTTTGACGGTCCTTTCGTGAGCCACCATTCGAACTTCTTGTTTTCGAGAGGCCAAATTCCAAACGATCACCTTCAATGTAAAAAAAAAAATATTTTTCAAACCAAAGAAGAATTAATTTTCTGTCATACCTCTCCATTGTAAGCACCACTGGCAACTATGGAGAGCCTTTCAGGATGTTTTGCCATGCAACAGACACCGTCTCTGTGTCCATCTAGGCTACACAAGAACGGCTTAGCAAAAACTCGCTCCAATTTCACGGCGTTCAACGCCTGCTTGTACTCTCGAGGGGCTTCCAAAGGGTGCAAATCAGGGTCGTAATTTCTCTGCACTAAGAATAAAATTAATGTAAAATAAAAAAAACAATTGGTTATATTTTTAATAAAATTACTTTTATGCAGGTCATTTTTCGTCTCTCGAAGATAATGGTCAGGATTCCGACAAATTACTTTTACCTTCATCTTCAGTACTTGTTATAGAACTTGGAAAATTACCAAAATATCATGGAAAATTAATCAAAATTGGGTAGAACGGGCCGACTATGTACACACGTGTGTGTTTGTTTACGTCGCCAAGTGTTTTTTTTTCTTTTTTCTCGATCTGCTTTTGGTGACGTCAATGCATCCTATTGGCTCTCCAGGAATATCTCTTGACGCTGATTGGATGAGGTGAAAATGATCTCAGTTTGAATTTCAGCTCTCCTGCCATGTGCGGGCCACATGATGATTCTATGCGCGGTCAGCGCGGTATTACTTTAAAATTAAATTTAATTCAATTGGGCAAATAATATGGCTAACACATTTCTTTATTTTGTCTAATCATTATTTATCCTTTTTTGTTATCATCAGAAAATTGATACAACACGAAGAAATAAGTAACAATAAAACCTGAAAGCGATACAAAATATTCATAGTTCAGCACAAAGCAGGGCCCCATTTTCATCGAGAAGGATTGTTTGGAGTCAACAGAGATCATGTGGACCAAGGGTAGTAATTCGTACCGATGCGACATCTTCAACCAAGAGTGGCGAAAAATTTCTTTGTTTAAAGCATCACTCTAGAAATTGGATTACAGCTTTTTTATTAATTAAAAAAATTTGGCACACTTACTTTGTCCATCAAATTTTGTCCTATCAAGCAGTATAAAAATATTTTTATCGCGACCCAAAAAACGTACATAGCCATGCCGACTATTGGAATTGTGGCAACATACTACAATAAGTTGTGAAATATGAAGGTAGAAACATGATAAAATAAAATTAAATATTATGTAATAACAATTATTACATTTGCAGCGCTAAACGTCATAGAGCAGATTGAAATGCAACTGGTAGAAACAACAAGAATCAAAATTGGTGACCATAACTCATTCATCTCGTCCACAAATCTGTAAAAATTTAATGAAAATTGAACAAAGGCATATTAAAAAAACTTACTCTGCCAAAAGTTGTCGGAAGTGAAGCCAGCAGTGAATATCAATAATTGAATTGTTTTTATAGGCATATGTTTTTATTTTTGTAAGTTCGAAGCTTTTTTTTAGAGTATCTTTTAAAATTCGGAGTTCGCATGTAATTATCATGTGAAAATAAAACACAAAACAATCCATTGCCATACTCTTGAAAGGGGTCAGTGAGCTTGTGCCCGACACTAAATAGTATATGGGGCCCTTGTGCGAGGCGCCGAGAACTTTGTTCAAAATTTTTTCAGAATCGTCATCGTCCGCAACGGTGATGTTTGGCTTTAAAATTTGAAGGTATTTCTTCCCCACAAAAGTTGTCAAAATCATCACCGTGCATTGGATAAATAAGAAAATTGAAATTTGTGCCGCCAAAATTCGCTTCAACCTTTTACCTGCTATTTTTAACACCATTTTTTGAAAATTGAGAAAGGGAGGATAATTCAAAATTTCATTTAGTTTCCTCAGCAATTTCAACAATTTGTATTTGTTTTTAAAAACAATTAAGGTTTTTAAGATAGAACCAACAAGCCCTATTTCAAATACAATCAATTTTCCGATATCCCTCAAAGTAAAGATGGAGTTATCCAAAAACTCCAATGTCACCATTGCCAAGATTGTGAATAATATCATAAAGATCATTAGTTTTTCATAGAAAGAACCCAACAATTTGAGAAAACGGAATTGAAAACGTAAGCTCCCAAAAGGAACCCAAAGACCAAGTGCAAAGTTAAATTTGAGAATAAAATTGAAGGTTTTATCATCCTCTAAAAGCACCATTCTAGAAGCAAAGTTTTCCAGAACTGGCACACTTCATCAATATTAATGTAAATTAAATTTTAGCGTTCATATTGATTTTTTGTATTTGAATGGATAGGAATAGCTCATTATCGAAATTATTCTGATAGATCAATTTCAATAGTGGTGCTTTAAATTATAATGTTTTCTTCTACATGTTGATGTTGACCTGTCCAAATATTGATTTAGAGAAAATAAAAAAATTCAAACAGATAAAGGGTTAAGACAAAGGAGACAAAGACTGGCATGTAAATTTTTGGCGTGATCGGAAATAGTAATATTTATTTCAAAATTAAATGAATCACAACAAAATGAAAAAGCTGCAAGTTATTGTGAACAAACAGGAGAAAATGACTAAAAAACAAAGGAGATTTCGTAACACTAAGAATCATCTAATTCTTGTGTGACATGATAGTTGTAGCAGCAATACACGGGCATACAATTAGAGAGTTGAGTAGTTGTTCTTGTTGCAAAAATATATGCTAACGGGGTGTGCTTGTAAAAATTAGTAATCAATTCTTAAACAGGCAAAAATTATGTTACACACATGTATTGTCAGTTCCTTGCTCGGTGTCAAGTTAGAATTCAAAATCGAATTCTTTTCAGCAATGACTGATTGTGAGTGTCTCGATGAATCCTCACTTACACATTTAATTGGACAGAACTGCGTAAAAAGTTGGCTTCAAAACAATGTCCGTCAATATCAATCGAAATAATATTGCGTTTCAGTACATAATCCAAATCGCTTTGCCTGGTATACACAAAGTGTCTCAGGATCTTATTCATATTATTTTACATTGCGTATTGAGCACCCATGAGTAGTGTTGCCGATGATGGACCAGTAAGTAAAAACATAAAAGTTCCACCGGTGCAGAAACATAGGAATTTAAAGCACATTGACGGTTGATTTTAAATTTAATTAGACGGCAATAAATAAAGACGTTTGGTATGTGCCAAAAAAGCAACACTTTCACAACTCGCTCTCGATGGCGAAAATAGTAGTGTGTTAGAACAATTATTATATTTTTTGGTAAGATATGTTTTGCCAATGGAGATCATACATATTTGACTAAACATAGCAATCATGTTGTAGAGCAGAGGGCGGCTCACATTAGTCCCTTATTCCTTCTTCAAAAAGAGTTGTACTGAATTTAAATAAGTTTGGAGCCGATAGGAATTTGAATGCAGCTCTTTGATCAAAATGACACCAACTACTGGTAATAATAGGTGTTAAAGAGATGAACAATAACTGCTACACATACAAGGTCCTAAATGCAAATCAAGATCCTCAGGGTAAGCCGAGAGCCTCTTTCTTAAATTGACACAAAGCACTGCTCCGCGTTGTACAATAAAAAGAGGAATATAAAATTTCGTGCACTTCCTAATTATTAAATAAATCCCTCCCTGGATTCTCCAGCCAGGAAGAGAGAGATAAATTGTTCTGTTATTAGTTCAAAGACTATTCGTCAAGGTTTTGCTAGTGGTAGCTACGTCGATCAATTTCGAGAAAGACTATGAGTATTTTTTTAATATTAAAAGTAAAGCTGCATTGCGTAGAGTTTCCACATTGAATGCGGAAATTTACAATTTAGGTATTCGCAGGCAATCAGCATGCACATTACGCTGCAAAAGTACGAATGTGATATAATCTCAGCTAAGCAAATTTTATATCTTTTTCCAAACATAACAGAAACATTTTTTTCATTTTATCAGCTGCTCTTTACAAATGTACAATTTCATACATTTTTTTCTGCGTAGTAAAACGCAAAAATTAAATTTATTGCAATTAATGTAATTAATAATTATGTGTTGATTGACTAAAACACAGCTATCTATATCAGGGCTCCTTTTTTTCTTGCGAACTACTCAAAAGGATTAGAAATTCGTAATCGACTAGACGTTTAACAGAATCAAAATTATTGAAAGAGCAATTTAAGGTCAATAATGAAGCTGTTTGCAGGCAACTTACACCTTACGCAATCTTCTTGCTACACGACGAATCTGCCCTAAGTTCACAGTGTGGTAATCTGCCTGGCAGACCGTTGACCACCATCATTTCTTCAGTAGGGAAGTCAAGGACAACAGTGAAGTGGAAAGCCATGTTGGCACAAGCAATTATGTACTCGCAAAAAGAGAACCAGCTGAATGCTAAAAAAATTTAAAGAAATACAAAATAATTGATTTCTTTTTAAAAAAAACTTACCCATGACATGACACATGAAGCGGTGCTTCACAAAAAAAATTAAAAGTCCTAAGGTGCTGACAAGTGATGCCGCAAAAAGGAAGCGTTTTAAGTCGTAGGATTGCTTCTCGTTTTCGGTCAACTGCGGTTTGAGAATGTTGAATGTCCTCAGGACGACCAGCATGTGGCTCAACGAGCATATCATGAAACATATGAACATCTTCTCATGGAGAGCTGAAATTTTTCAAAAAATGGGAATTTAAAAGAATATAAAGAAATTGCCAAATAAAATTTAATAAATTTGTCATGAAAGGAAAAGTTAAGAATCAAAGCATTAAAAAATTACATAAACATTTCAAATTTAAGTTAAATTTTTTTCATTAGACTTACGATAATTTTCCCTGTTGGACACATAAGTGACGCCAAGCAAGGAAGCTATCTCTATAACATTGAGCCAGTAGCAGATACTGAGGAGGCGCTTGTACTTGGCCTGGTGCTCGACAGGGATGTTCGGCAAGCGCGACAAATAGTATGTGTTGTACACTAGGGCGATCACAATTCTGGGCCCGATATGCAGGGCAACGCAAATTCGCCACAGGTACCGCTGGGGACTGATTCCTGTTATGGCACTGATGGAAGGTATTACATTGTACACCTGCAAATGATTAAGCAAAATTACAAAAATTTAAATACAAAATACATTTAATAAAAAATAAATTATTGGCCTTGGCCCTTAAATCTCGAGTGCATTGAAATCTGGCGCAGTGTCAAGATTAGGGCGTTTGCCAAATGCAAAAATAAACTCTAGAAATAAAATACAAAACGCACGGTCATGGATATAAATATATTTTCCGCCCCCCCAACAAAATAAAAAATATTTTAACATAAATAAAAATTTTGAACCCAAAAAACAGTCGTATTGTGAAACTAAAAATATTAATGCCTCCTCAACTCAAATTTAATATTAAATATTAAATTCTATTCCTTCTTTATCATTATCTTTAACCTTGACAAACAGCTAAGTAAGACTTACTTTGCAGTGTGTTTCGTGAATTTGATCCTGTTGGAAAATATAAGCAGTGACAAAACAGACGAAGAGTCCAAAAATCGGAAGAGACACGGTGACCACACACAATTGCTTGAAACTAACGGCAAAGTAGACAACCGCATTGCTAGTGACAGATTTGCTCTGCTCCATCTTGTCCTCTTTTTTGTCTATAAGGGTCGAGGTCAGCACAAGCGTTTACAAATTCACAGTAGCAGCAGGAGGGTCAAGAGAGATAGCAGAGGAAAGTCCCAGCAGAGCTCCATTTTTCCAGCCGAGTCTTTTTCTTCGAGGAGGCAAAAGAGAGCTGAAAGCAAGTTCAACGTTGACAAACACATAACAAAAGGAACACATAACACAGGAAATGTGCGTGAGAAAGAAGCAAAAATATTTATATGCAAAATGAACGCGTGTACATAAACAAAGAAGGCAGCAGAGAAATATAAATATAGGAGAGCTAAAAATATAAAAGCGAAAACGGAGAGACCTGCGGAGGCCGGCAGAAAACTCTTCTTGTTTGTATTTACTCTGGGAAAAGTTTTGTCAGAAGTTTGGGCGTCCAATCAATATTTCATTCTGTGACTTTTCAATTATCATGTTGTTTCGTACAACTGCCTCTTGTACTGGGAAAAGGAACAAGACTACATATGTAAAAAAGTACATACATAGTTGGCCTTCTCAATCTCATATCGAGCTCGGCTCTCGGCTTTGCATATTTATGAGCGAATTTACGCGATTGTTTCGATACAAAAGTTCACGTACCTCTCGGGTTCCTTAAATTGCACAAAATTGGCGAGATAATAGAGCAGACCGAGGGGGTTGAATTCGAGATAACAGCGTTTAATTGGGGGTTGGTCGCGACGCAAAACACGACGGGGTTGAAATATTGTGCACAATTTTGAGCCGCTAAGACGTGATTAAGCCGGACGAATTTTCTGTTACGGTTTAGAGTTATGTGGGAAATCTACCTGAAAGTGCTGCAGTGTCGAGCACGGCCGGAGAAATCTGCGTTTCGAGATTCAACTGCCCTGATTTAGTCAGAGGCAACTCGTTGATCATATGGACTCTCGGTGCAACGAGTTCTCATTCTCATAGTTCCCTGGTATGGCAGTGCGGCAAACCTTTCGGTGTGCAACTTGTGCAGATGCAGATTGCGAAAGGCGGCTGCCGGCAGTGCGGGGTGGTAGGGGTGCTGGCGGCAGCGAGTCCGAAATTCAATCTTGAGATTGTAAAAGGTATGAGATTAAATTAAATTGTTATTTTAAAAAAAGTATGAAATTGAAATTAAGTGTAGAAGATGTTTTATTTTATTTTAATACAAATTCTTTAAAATGTTTTATTGTAAATAAAAGCTACAAATTATTTTTTTATTTTTATTTTTTAAAAACTTTTGTTTCATAATTCATAACATTTCGCACTTTTTACATTCTCTCACAATCACCCATCAAAAATTGAACGCAATTTATTTATTACAGTACCAAATGAAGTGCACATATTTTAATCCTATTTAGATTTTAGTTACCACAGAACATTGTGTCTTGATTAATGATTTCATTCTCCATATCATTCAACATACTCATTTTAAAGACTTCAGCACACCCTTATTAAACTAAACACAAATATTCGCCTTTGACCACGTGAACCTAGCACAAAGCAGTCGTGTTTGAGGAGAGACTGAGGGGAATAATAATTGGCATTACATATTCTAAGTGTGTGTGTTAGGGTCTTTGTGCTGGATGGAATATCAATAATAAATTAACAAACAAAAAGGTGGAGCCCGCTGGAATTGGTGTTTAATGTAAATACCAATTCAAGAGAACCAAAAAATGGATGATCAAAATTTTGCAAGTCTCAGATCAAAAATGAAAAGTGTGGAATTTCAATGAGGCGGGAGCAAGATCAGTCTACAACTCGTCCTTCATGTCGTCGTCGTCGCCGCCCGCAGGTGGGGGCGGGGCACCACCCTGACCCTGGTACAGCTTGGCAATGATGGGCTGCACAACGTCCTCGAGCTCCTTCTTTTGCTTCTTGTAGTCCTCGGAATCAACGTCCTGGTTCTCCTCCAGCCACTTGATCTTCTCGTCAATGGCCTCTTCCATCTTGGTCTTGTCACTATCAGATACCTTGGCGCCCAACTTGTCCTTGTCGCCCAACTGGTTCTTCAGGGAGTAGGCGTAGGATTCGAGCTCATTTCTCGCCTCGACGCGCTCCTTCAACTTCTTGTCCTCGTCGGCAAACTTTTCGGCGTCCTTGATCATTCTGTCAATGTCATCAGGGGTCAATCTGTTTTGGTCATTGGTGATGACAATCTTTTCCCTGTTTCCTGTGCCCTTGTCCTCCGCAGACACCTGCAGAATGCCGTTGGCGTCGATTTCGAATGTCACCTCAATTTGGGGAACACCTCGAGGTGCGGGAGGGATGCCAGTGAGATCGAACTTGCCCAGGAGATGGTTGTCCTTGGTCATCGGACGTTCACCTTCGTAGACCTGGATGGTGACGGTGTGCTGGTTGTCAGAGGCAGTGGAGAAGATCTGCGACTTCTTTGTGGGGATGACGGTGTTTCGGGGGATCAACTTGGTCATGACTCCACCAACGGTTTCAATACCCATAGTCAGAGGGTTGACATCAAGGAGGACAATAGCGTCAGTGTCCTGTTCGCCGGACAGTACTCCAGCCTGGACGGCAGCACCGTAAGCAACGGCCTCGTCGGGGTTGATGCCTCGGCTAGGCTCCTTTCCGTTGAAGAACTCCTTAACAAGCTGCTGGATCTTGGGGATACGAGTGGAGCCTCCGACCAAAACAATTTCATCAATGTCCTTCTTGTTCATGTCAGCGTCTTCCAAGACCTTCTGCACTGGCTTCATGGTGGAACGGAAGAGATCCATGTTCAGTTCCTCGAACTTGGCCCTGGTGAGAGTTTCAGAAAAGTCGTCTCCCTCAAAGAAGCTTTCAATCTCGATCTTGACCTGGTGGGCGGAGGACAGACCTCTCTTTGCCTTCTCAACCTCGCGCCTCAACTTCTGGACTGCCCTGTTGTCTTTGCGGATGTCCTTGCCCTTTTTCTTTTTGTACAGCTTGATGAAGTGGTCCATGACGCGCTGATCGAAATCTTCACCTCCCAAGTGAGTGTCACCGTTGGTGGCAACGACTTCGAAGACGCCATTGTCGATGGTGAGCAGGGACACGTCAAAAGTACCACCACCCAAATCAAAGACTAGAACGTTCTTCTCGCCTTCCTTCTTGTCCAAACCGTAGGCAATGGCAGCAGCAGTCGGCTCGTTAATGATTCTCATGACTTGGAGACCGGCAATGGTGCCAGCGTCCTTGGTAGCCTGACGCTGGGCATCGTTGAAGTAAGCGGGCACAGTGACAACAGCGTGGGTGACCTGGGGGGAAAAATTAAGAATTAGTATTTAGAAAATAATTGAAAAATACTTTGTTTTTACAATAAATATACAATTTTACAAGTTAATTATTAATTTTAATTCAAAGGTACCTTCTTGCCAAGATAGGCTTCGGCAGTTTCCTTCATCTTGACCAAGACCATGGCGGAGATTTCTTCGGGAGCAAAGACCTTGTTGCCCTGAGAGGTGTCAACCTGGATGTGAGGCTTGCTGTTCTTCTCGATCAACTTGAACGGGAAGTGCTTCATATCAGACTGGACAGTGGCGTCGGTAAACTCTCTACCGATGAGACGCTTGGCGTCGAAAACGGTGTTCTCAGGGTTGGTGGTCAGCTGGTTCTTTGCGGCGTCACCAATAAGGCGTTCGCCGTCGGCAGTGAAGGCCACGTAGCTGGGAGTGATGCGGTTACCTTGGTCGTTAGCAATGATTTCCACTCGACCATTCTTGTACACGCCAACACTGCAAATTAATAAATTCAGGGTTAGAATCTAGGTGGACTGGTTATGTAATGAAAGGCCTACCAAGAGTAAGTGGTTCCCAAATCAATGCCAATAACAGTTCCAATGTCCTTGTTTTTGTCGTCCTTCGAGGCGAAGGCGACGGCTGCCAGAAGGCAGAATGTGTTAAGGAGAAGGAGCAGTCTCATTTCGACTCCTTAAACCGCAGTTGAAGATTGAAAAATCTGTAATTAAAAATTTGTTCATGAATTGAAAATACATGGTGAAAATTTGAAATTTTAAGAATGTTCCAGAAAAAAATATTGATTAAAAAACCGCACTTCAGGTTAAAAATAATAAAATATGCATGAGGGTATTTAAAAATTTAAAACAATTTATAGAAACCGAGAGCCAAGTGTTTAAAGATGCTAAAAAATGCAAAGCTACGTGGACGTCTTGTATCAAGGTTGTATTGTATCGGCTCGCACCGCTGATCACTCAACGGGAAAAGCCACCTTTAAAGGACCGCCAGGCGTGAAAAAATTTATGTTAAAAGACGCCAAAATCCAAATTTTTTGAAGCCGGTTGCAGTTCAATTAAATATTAAGGCTTAAAAACAAATTTAGAGTCCCTCAGTCTGATAATTGTTCGTACAATTAGATCGGAATGCACAGCCAAGTCCCGTTATGATAAATTCCAATCGGGCTGCACCCCCATGCGCACGGATTTAAAAGCTTTAAAGTCGGATTTTTGAAAGGGAGCAGCGTATTTCAAATCGAAATTACTGACGCTCGCATGTGTGGTTATGATTTAAATATGTATTCTCACCTCTGTCGGCAGTACTTGCTTCGCAATTCACTTGAAAATCTGTCAACTCACTCGTTCTTCTTGTGCTTGCTTCAAATAAATGACACGACTCACAACTGGTCTGGTACTCAAAGACCGGGTTTATGAACCCAATATCCCAGCGTGTCGCGAGCCCATTGGCTGAAACGCCACGAACGGCGCTCTGATTGGCCCGCGTCACATACAGCTGGACTAACGTCATTGGACCACGTCCCGACATATGGAAAGTGCAAGAAGAAACTCGAAGGATATCGAGGTGCTGCCATCAACGGTACAAATTGCAACATGCACAATCTTGCGCGCGTTTTTAGTTCCTTTTCAAAAATAGGTCATTTAGGTCGTAAATAAAATTTTATCAAAATAAAGTAACAGATAGTGTCAAATCAATATTGCTAAGTTGAATGAAAAATTGAATATAAAAAATTCGTGTGTGTTAATACTTCACAATTTATTTTGTCGTAAAATACTCTATTTATGATTTCCATAAAATATGCAAATAATTCTGAATTATTTACAACATTAACTAAATTCATACTCTCTTCGCCTGATCTATCACACAAACATAATTGATGCAAAAATGATTTCCTCGTTGGAAATAATAGAATCTGCATACAGTATTCGCATCAGTCGTTGAACAAGTCCATGGAAAAAAAGAAACCTACTAAATTGGTTTGACCTGAACACATTTCACAATGGTCTGTGCCTCGACAAGGTGTGTTCTTCGGAGTCCCCCAGCATGTCAACACTGCTGGGACCACTACATTCGTCCACTAATCTGCTCAATTCTGCAGCACTATAGCCAAGCAGTCCTTTCAAATCACAAACAAACTTGTACACAAATCTCTTTCCGTGGACCTACGAGATAATCAATTAATTTTAATTAAATATCTTGGTTTCTGCAATAAAATCTTACTTTTGCAATCATTTCACCATCGTAATAGTATCTCAATGCCCTGCTAAGCTTTTCATAGTTCATCGTGGGCTTGTTTTTTCGGACACCCCACAACTGAGCAACAACTTCAGGGTCAATCAATTTGAACTCTCCTTCAGTTCCGACCCATTGAATCACATCTCGGTGCTGCTTCTCAGTCAAGAGCTCCAGCAAGAATTGCCAAAGCTGTATTTGACCGTTGTTTCCTGTAACTGGAGCTGAATGGAAACTGGTGAACTTCTTGAGAAATTGTATTACCAAGACGGACTGCTCCAAATGCTTCGACAGACTTGGACATGATAACTCTCTGCGACTTGTACTTTGGCTTAGTCAACCGGGTATTAATTTTACTAACCGTTGTTTCTTCACTTTGGTCCAAAACAGCTGGAGAATTTTTTTTTAAATAACTTTGAAAAATCATTTAGTGTAGGCCTTACCAACAAATTTGCACTTTCTCAGAAGTTCGAGATGAGTCCAAAAAATATCATTTGGATCGACGGGAACTTTCTCCTTAAACTGCTCCCTCTTCATGGAAAAAAGCGCCTTCCCATTTATAGACCAATTTGACAACTGGATCCTGATCAAGTTGAAATGTCTCACTGCCCACTGCAGCCAAATCTGTACATGCTCGACAGCCCACTCTTCTGGGTCTAAAAATAAATTTATGAATTGCAGGAGGAAAATATAAATCAAGGAGATACCATTCGGAATGTTGAGTTTCTCCTGCAGTTTCTTGAAAGTTAAATCGACGCACCATTTCATTACCTTCTTTTCGCTGCTGATCGAGTGCGAATCAGTTCGAACCTTTGGAACTTCAGTGGCTAGAAATTTCATGGAGTTAAATTGCAAAAAAAAAATCACTTTATAATAATATTACTCTGCGCTTCTTGCTGCTCCAGAAAATCATCTCCAGGCCTCAAAACATCCACTATGTTTATTTTAGTTCCATGAATGGGATCTTGGAGCAACTCTACATTAATTTGAACAACTCCTCCCTCGGACACACATTGATCTTGGAGAGTTTTGTTGGCATCCAACTGAAAACATAATTTAAAATTATTCATGCTTGCAAATTATGGAAAAAAAAATACCATTTGCGAGTCTTGAAGCCAAAATTTGTAGCCAGTGAGGTCGATACCTCCAAGTTTAGCTTCAAGAAGTGACCGCAGGGTTGTTAAAGGTTCACTTATGTCCATGTGTAAAATTATTATGTCTGACGGGTCCCTACAATTATTTTCATTTTGTTAATAAGGGAATACTTTTCTGTTTAGCTATAATTTTACTCCATATCTGTGACCACTTCCTGTTCCATAACGGTTGGCTCGTCTACCAACGTAGACGTCAAAATGTCATTGTTCAAAATCGACTCTTCATCACAGTCTATGTACTTGAAGTACTTCTCATCATTCGCTTTTGACGTTTCTGATGCTTTTCTGCAAGACAAAAATAAAATTGTACAAATAATTACAATGATTTGATGATAAACACCTTTTTCTGGAAGGATTTCCTCCGTCGGATTTGCTAGAATTTCCGTTCATGATTCATTGACAGCAGATAGAATTATAAAACTGAATAAATTCCGATGATAAAAAGGAAATCTGAAAAAAGGAAGGGAAAGTATAATACATTAGTCGACATAATTATATTTAGATTGTATCAATATTATTGTTTCATAAACCGACTTTATAAGGAAAAAGTCTAGACCTACACCCACGAATAAAATCAAAACAAAAGGAAGGTTTTGGAACAAATTTACACACATTCCTTTGCCTAAGAAAAATTGTGTATACAATTTGTACCAATTTCACGGACGAAACTTAAAATATATCAGAAGACTTTTTAGGATTAGCTTGGAGTCAAGGCATAGATAAATTAAAATTTACACTAAACGCCTTTGAAATATAAATATTTTAAAAAAAACTAATACTAACTTAAACTCAGCAGAAAGCCATTTTGAATAATAATCTCTTGTTGTTGTGGGAAGAAAAGGGGGAAAAGGGAATTACAGGGAGGCCAACAGAACCAAGTCAGCCCGGGAACTAAATAATCCACGCAAGCGATAATGCATTACATACGTTATTATTTTTATTTTCAAGTACATTCGCTGGTACATTGTAACAGCATAGTACATAGGATAAGAAATATATTGCTGAATAAATTTATTCATAGTTCACCATATTCACAACTCACAACACGTCATATAGAAAAAAACTTTTATATATAATGAAACAAAAAAATAAAATACCACTTCGCACTCGTCAGAGGTGTTTGGTGTAGAAATTTGGTGTTAGAAGTTAGTTTTTTGATCGTATTGAGGTTTTTTAAAATAGATCATAATAAAAAGTCTTATATTTAAAATTTATCTTCAAAATTAAAAATATTTTATATAAAAAAAACTAGCTAAGAATAAGAAATTTAAATTAAATATTCATTTTTAAATCAGCTTAGAAATTTATGGAAAAGAAATTGTAATCATTATATTTCCGTTTCCAAAATTGAATTTTGAATATAGCATTGTATAAGAAAACTTTTGCTTAAATATTCCAGAATTACAAAATCTCAGATTCATATTTATTTTTTCCAGAACTTTTTAAACCTCAAACAACGATCGGTAAATAATCACTCGTTCTCATTCCTAGATAATAAATATTTGAAAATTTTTGAAAACGTTGTTGCAGTCGTATGAGTTCATTTTGATTCCACTTATCCGAATTCACTTTTTTTTCCTCAGCTTAAGAAAGGGAAAAATAAATTTTTATTTTTCACATATAAATTGCCTGTGAATTATTAATTTTGAAATATTTCTATTTGATTTTTTTCCTCCGTGGTAAGGCAGAAGGATAATTTTTTAAAGTTTTGCATATAATTAAACTTTTCAAGTCAAAATTATTTATTTAAAAAAAGAAATCCAGTGAATTATTTATTTAAAAAAATATTTTCGAGAGAATGCTCGACGTGAAAGCTCATGGGTGTATGTATATTATTGGAGGCTGCACAGAGATGGCGTAGGCCGAGGGTCCGCGGCGAGAAAATGGTCCGAGTCGTTTGCAGTTGTGCATCGGAGTGTGCGGCGGCCCAGTGCGCAGTCGTTGGGTGCGTTGTCAGAATTCTTGTGCCATTCCTGGCATTCCTAACGAAGAGTCGCTCTTCGAAATAAGGCCCAAAATTTTGTGCTAACAGCGGAAATCGGCGGCCCAGGCCAGCGCATTTCGTCAGCGGTAAGTAGAGGCGGCCAGTTTGAGTGGCGGCGGCGGCCGCCGGCGCGCGTTTGGCCGTCAGATCGGTCAAATGCCGCGGCAATGTGTCGCCAATGCTTTCAATACCTCACATACTTGTCGTGTTTGCCACTAGCCAGTCGCGTCGACGCCTCGGCCGACGCGCCCCCGCCCTCGGCCGAACGTCGGCCGACCCGCGGCGGCCCTTCGCGGCCTCCGACGGCCTCGCGAGCGCTGAAAACGGGCCTCCGCGCTCCGACCCGCCGCCGAACTTTTCTCGTTCCTTGTCAGCCCCACAAGCGAGCGCCGCTCGCGCAGCCAAACGAATGTACTTTCGCGGCCCCAGCACCACTTGCACGCATTTTATTTGAAAAATTTCAAAATTCGCTCCAACCTTTCGGCTCGCTATGAGGAAGAAATAATTCTCACAGTGGAATTAATTCCGTGGATATTTATGTGTTTAAAGTAATAGAAATTCATAATAGGAAAACGTCACATTTTTGATTGAAATGAAAATTCAGATTTTTTTTTATATTTCCATTGACATCGATATGTTATATTCTGATAATGGGAAAAATTTTACTATCAAAACCTTCCGACTATATTTTCAGGGTTTGTTATTATTTTTATGGTAAAAAAAACTAGACCAGGTAATATTTTTTTTAAATAAATTAGTTAAATTGAATTGAAATAAAATTCAGACTTCATTAGATTGTATAAGAATTTTTTTTTTAATCAAATGTATATTTCATCTGACATTATCAAACTAAAAAAACGGACCTCACAGTAAATAAAGTAACGCGCATTTTGGAGACTAAAGTAACCTTTATTTAATAATTATATTTTATGCTACCTATAAAAACACTCTAATTTTTGGTGAAGAAAAAAACTAATTTGTTTTAATCCTTTTAATTTAATTAGGGGGGGGACTTCCTAGTCTTAAAAGGAAAAAAATACTTTCATGCAAAATATGGGAAAATAATTATACAAACTAAGTTTTGTGTAGAAATATTTAATATTATTGTAAAATCAATTTTGAAAAAAAATCTTGATTGTTTGAATTTTATTTAAATTAAAACACTCGCACACTATGCGTGATGAACTGATTTAAATTTGCTTGTTGGATTATAGGAGGGCGGATTTAATTTTCCGTTAAAATTTGTCAAAACTTTGAAAATCCTAATTCATTTAATGAAAATGATTTTTATTCTCTGCAAATGTTAAGTTAACTAGTTAAAAAGAAGCATTAAAATATGAGTGAATTTAAAAGTGGGAGTGTTAATCTTTTATTTAATTATTAGAGTTAATTCAATTGCAGATATTTTAAATTTGATTCAATAAATGAGGATGCATAATAATTGCGTAATTACTCGTTTTAAATATTCAAAATCAAGAATTTTATTTACACATAAAATAGTTGTCATCTTGAAGCTAATTAACGGGCAATATAATAAATAAAAAAAAAAATAACAAATTTGCGTGCAGCCCGGAGTGCGTCCGTATCTTATCAGCGCACACTCATGCAAACATTGCGTCGGTCGCGAAAATAAAGCTTTGTGTGTGCAGTATGATGATGATCCGCGCGCGCGGCTCTCTGCGTGCTTCCGACTCTCGGTGGTCGGCACTTACGCGTGAAATCGGTCCTTTCTTTATCTCTTTTCTTTTGAGACGAATCGATTCGCGTCCGACAGAGACGCAAACATTTTGTTTCGCTGCTCTGTCGGCATTAGAAAAGAAGAAGAAGCCACTCGTCGGCTTTCAATTAGCGCCAGATTGCCGCAATGAAACGCGATAATTATTTTTCGCGCGCCTCAATGCTCACTTTCATTTGAATTTGGCTACGAGAAAAACAAACAGTGAAAATAAATCTGGAAACTTCTAATTATGTCAATTAAATTATCAAATGGATACATTAATGATGTTCAATTTGAATGTTTGCATCTTTTTAATTGAAATAAAAAAAACAAGTTTTTATTTTCAGAATTCAATTCATTCCTGCATCTAATGTAGAAGATAGGATCGAAATTTTATTTGCTTTAAAAATTGTTTTTAAGTAAGTCTGTTATATTTTAATATTCATGAATAAGATAAAAGGAATGTTGGGCATTTTTTCTGCCCGTCCGATTCGCATTCTAATCGACACGCACCAAGCCCTAGATCGAAATGCAAGCGAGCAGCAAACACCCAGGGCGCGCGCAATTAGCAATTCATATCGGTCCACTACAGCGCTCTCCTTTACGCAAGCCATTTCCACTTCTTTTTCAACGAACGCGATTTTCGCAGAGAAGATGAATAATTCAATCAAGGCGCGGAGGGAAAAGATTGAATGGCCTGGCTGCTGTAAAATGCAAAACAAAACGAGAGAAAGAAAAACGGACAGGGCAGCACGCACACAGGTGGATTTTTTTATTACTTTATTCCACATGCGATCTATCCCATCCTTATTTATGAATCGGAAGGACGCGCCATCGAGATAAAAAAGCATCATTTTATATATGTATTATTATTTTAATATGCTACCCGTTTTTCCTCGGAAACTTGGCTCGCGCCCCTCAGGCTGCGAATTAATATTCTCTTAAATTTTCTTTTCTAAGCCATCGTGGAACAGGTGCAGCCTTTGAAATGAAAAAAGGCGCCGATTTTTTTCTTTTATATAAATCAAGATTTTTCACGGCGTGCAGGTAAATGAATGAGGAAGAGTGACGAAACCACGGACTGGAAAAATTAGGAAGCATACCAGCGCGCTGAACCTTGATGGCGTGCTGTGTGCGTTTGGCGCAGTCATTGAGAATCAAAGACAAAATTTGCGAATAATCTCAGATTTGTGTAATGATAAGAGATTGGATGTGATGACGTTTGTATAATTATTTCTGGTTGTGGATGTGAAATTTCTTTTAAAAAAGGGGACAGGGAATTCCAGTGAATCAATATAGCGTCAGAGAGGAGATTGACCCTGTTTTTTCTTTTATGCAAATAATGAGTCTCGAAAAAGAAAAAGAAAGAATTCCATTATTCAGAAAAGTGTTGGAAAGCAAAAAATTAAATTTTAATTTATTTTTTAATTTTCCTAATTCTTTTCTTCCCATTATTTTCATCAAACCAAAAAAGAAAAGTTCGCATAGAAGTTTTTGCCAATTCTCTTATATTTTTTAAAGTGTTTTGATTGATAAAGAGTTGGGATAAAAATGCTGCGAAATTTTTTGCACTGTAATTAATAAAAAGATTGCTAGCATTGAATTTATATACATAATTAATTATTTACGTTCTTAATAATCCAATTAGTAGTGAATTAAACTTTTTTTTTGACTTGATAATTTTATGAACAAACAGGCCTTTTTTTGTGTTCCCTTAGAAATTTGTGTATTAAGAAATACTGAATAAAATTTTAAAATAAAATTAAACAGAAAAGCTGATTTAATCTAAGCATGAATTAAAATAGTGGCTGTTGATTTTTCCAACTAGAGACGACGCTGACTCATTTATTTTTAAACCAGGAAAAATTAAGATGAATTCATCTATTGCACAGATCTGCTCGCGCGTGTTTGCGGTTGCTGGGCAGGTATGGGCCCCGAGCTGCACGTCTGTCGTCGTCTAATCGAGAGCAGATGTGTGCGAATTTTTCGCGTGTCATCGGCATCAGTCTTTTTGTTATCGGGTGCGACAGAGTCGGAAGTATATGAAAATTAACGCTGCCGTTGGCGGAGGGACAAAGTTCGAGTGCAATTCATTTATATATTGTCAGAGGAGGTGTTTCGCAATCCGGTGCTGCACTCGCGTACTCGATAGAAAGAAATTAACACCGCTTTAGAAAGGCTACTCGCACGCGAGAGCATTGTAATATTACGCGGTGAAAGGACAAGAAACTCTTCCCCTGCACCATAAGCGCCTCTGACCAGCAGAAATTACCCACCTTTTTATAATGGCAGGATTATGCACGCAATCGAGGAAAATAGAATAAAGTTGAGCGCGGAAATTACTATAACAATAAATGGTTAGAATTTTTCGTCAAAATCACAACCTTCGTTTAATTTGTTTTAAAATTATATACAGAACCACTTGTAGTCATTGGCCGATAATTAAACCACCTCCCTCAACAATGGTTTTTGTATTGAAGATGAGACTTCAATTTCCATTGGAAAGGTCAGGTAAAAATATTAGGGTTTTAATTAAATTACTCAAGGTTTCTTTTAGTGTATATAAAGAACTGAAATTTAAATAATATGTTTAACCCCCCTCTTTTCTGTTATTGATTAAATGGCCACCCTTGGCAGGTTTACAAGGGTGGCCAGATATTTTTTTATTTTATCTAATTTGGCTTAATTTTAACTAAAAAAAAACTTGCGTTTTCAGAAATTAATTTTCTGTAACTTAATCTTTATCTATTATTGACGACAATTTTGAGTCTTCTATTTTAAATTTTATTTCGTGTTAAATCGCTTTTTGTATTTCTATATCAAGCTCTATTTTACATGCTGAAGCAATAAAACAGAGCCATAAATTCAAAACGCCCCACGCAGCGAAATTCCATAAAAAGGCGCTGATGACATTTAAAATTATTTTTTAAGCATCCAAGTCGCAGGCGATTAAACTTGTAATCAATCTTTGGGGGAGGTAAAAGTCTTAAAAGTCCATTTAAAGTTTATTTTTCTTGCGACCAATAATTTCCCCTTAAATTCAGTTGTATCGTATCGGATGCAGCGAGTGAGTTTTGAAATCACATCGATGGGCTTTTGTTTGAGCGAGTGTGGATTTTGACGCGGGCGAGGGCAACTGGCTGGCTCTGAGCAGCGAGCGAAGCAGCAATAGACGGGGCTGGCTGCGGGCTATTTTTAAAATTATCCACCCAGCAGCTCACTCGACTGACTAACTGACTCTTTCACTCTCTTTATAAATACGGGAGGTGTCATCCGCGCACAGCAAATCAGCCGGGCTTGATTCGATTTTATTATGTGTTGGAGTGGAGAAGAAGCTCTCGGACTGAATCTCAGTGCGCTAATGAAAACAAATAAACGCTACTGGTCATGGGAGGCCTTCTTTTTCTCCTCGGCTGCTGTGTTTTAGAAAAGCTGGTCTGCTGCTGGCCGAGTAAAAAACCCGCCTCGCCGCGGGCCATTTTTCTCTCTCTTGTTGCTCCAGCGCCACCGAGAGGAATAAAGAGATCTTCCACGACCGGCCAGCAGCTACCGCGCTTTGTGTTTTACGCGGCTCAAACGATCCCACTCACTCTCCGACCGCCTCGATAACTAATAACAGGGATGTAAAATATCGCCGATTTTATTAGCGAAACAACCGGCTGCGTGCAAAAAAA